CCTCGGGGCGGAGACGCGTGATCTCTCGATCGTCGTGGATACTTTGTTACGGAAGTCAAAGAGCACTTAAACGGACGCGTTTTCGCAAGGGGTTAATTCACGCCGCGGGAATCGAGCGGCTCCGGGAACCGGATCTGCGTGGCAGTCAATCTCATTAGCGAAACAGGAAGACGTGGATGACCACGGAGCTGCTTCGAGGACACGCGAAGGTCTGAGAACCGGGGCGAATTCGTGGCCCGTTGTCCTCCAGCGTCGACGACCGCCGGCAAACCGGACGAAAACCGAGCGGTGTCGACCTCGACGGCAGGTGACACACCGCGCCGGTGTCGAGTTTCGCGGGATTTCGCGCGATTATTCGACGACATTTCGCGGTTCTCGAAGGAACGGTCGAGGAAACTCACGACGCCGTGAATTGTCGCGTAACCGCGAAAATCGCATCCTCACCGCACGCGAGGTATCGTTCGCTGTGAGATTACCGTAAATATTCGACAATCCCGTCCCGGGAAGATTCGCATCGTGAAGCTCAAGCTCGAGTCAAGTCGTGTCGCTGATTCCGCGAGAGAAACGCGAGAATTCGAACTATTTTGTCCCGGCGTCAGTATTCGCGGTATCTCGCGAGTAAACTCGTTTGGCTCTTGACAGAAATGATCCAAGTATCGAGATTAAATCGTTTCAACACGTCGATACCAATCTCCGCCGCAGCTATCTGCCACATGGACTTCCTCGAAGTCCATGCGTCGGAAGCCCGATAGATGATCTTCCTGGCTTCTCTACGAGGCAGCCCGGAGCTTGCCTCGGGTACTTAGATGAAGTCACAGAGCACTAAATCCAGGGTCAAAGGACACTTGTCAAGCTTACCGAAAGGCAGCAGCAGCAGGAACGTGTTCTGGGAAGCGCGCGATACTCCTAAGAAGCGAAGCACGAAGACAAGCCACGGTGGTGGTGATCGTGAGAAGTGACAGAAGTCTCGTCGGCCACGCCACGCGCATCTAAATTCGCTTCTCTCCTACCATCCTCCATCGCGCGACGGACGCATGCATACATATGTATGCATGCGTTGACATTGTCGCGACTGTCGCCGCGGCACGTGCTGCAGGCACAGGTGCCGACATGCGTGCCTGCGTGCATGCGTGCGCTCGTAAAGGCAAAAAAGCAGACGTAGACGCGCGCTCTCTCGCGCGCGAACGCGAGCGCGAGCACGAGAAGCCCGCAGACGCGCGAGATGGAGAGAAAAAAAGCAGACCGACTGTAATAATCAAAGGAATGACCCGCGCGCGAGCCGGTACAGCGCCACTTTGTCGGACCTGTCTTTCGAGTTTCGTCTCGTACCTCGTGCCACATACAGACAGGTCCGTCGCTCACGATGCACGCACGCACGCACGCACGCACGCACGCACGTCCGCGGTAGAAGTAGAGGTACCCGCGATACGCCCGATTTCCGGTTTGAGAAATGCCCGATTCCGGTTCCGAAGCGGGTCCACGACACGAGCCTGTCCGCTCGGTACCGCAAGAGCGTCCTGGCGCCGCAGGTTGCCCGAGACGGGCCACGCATACTGCCTGCGTGCGTATGCGCATCCATCTGCGCGTTCGTGAGCGCGCGGACACTCGCGCACGCACAAATGGCCGTACGTGTCGTGACCCTACGGTGACCCCGGCGACCTCGAGGTTCACGTGTCGGCCGCTGCTGGTGTGAGTGCCTTGTCGTCGATAATGCTGCACCGTAAGCACGTAATTGCCTCTTACGCGCGTACGCGCACGGTACACGCGTTGCGCAGTTACGTGTGCAGCGCGCGGTATTCTCTATTTTCTCTCTCTCTCTCTCTCTCTCTCTCTCTCTCTCACTCTCTCTCTTTCTGCACATTGCTGGTAAAAAGCCCCGGTGGAATGCCGCGTAGACTGTATAACGCGACGCTCGGCGTAATTTACTCGCGCTTGCAGCGCGAACGGGCCTCGCATACGCCACGAATTCGTGTGCTATTGAACCCTCGAGAGGAGGGGGGGAGGGGAGAGCGATAACGCGCCGCGGATACCGCTGTAATCGGAGCGGGGTGCGCCGGCGGAAAAAGAAGGCGGCTCCTCTGGGTCCTCCGGCTGCCCCCGCGACACCGGGAATTGACTTTTCCCGAGGGCGACGGAGGCGAGGCGGGAAAAACGGTGCACGCGCAAGTCGTCGGCGCGCGTGTCACGTTAAACGCGCTTTTCCGCGGCGACTCCTCGCGTCGCGCCTTTCCCGCGACCGCGCGCGGATTCCTACGGAGCCGACGAGCTCGACGAGCGCCGAACCGTTGCGCTTGGCTTTTCTCGGGCGAGGTGACAAAAGCGATGTACCGCTACCGCGACAAAGTCGCCGCGACTTCCTCAGCTCGCCTCGAGTATCAATCGTTCCCCGAACGCTGACATTCTTCCTCGCGCCGCGAAAAACTGGTCGTCGCGCGCGTAGGCGAAATAGCCGGCCGAAAGCGAGCGTTGACCTCTTCCTCGTTTTTTTATGCTAAACTCCTCTCTCCGCGTATGTGCTCTTCCTTTTCTCTCCTTCTCGCCTGACCACTAACATTCGGCACTTAACTCCTCGCTCGCCGCGAGCCGCGAAAAAAAAACACTTCGTTTCGCACGTCGCTCAACAGCACCCCCCCGTCAAAGGTTTGCACGCCGGGGTCTGCTCCTAATATCCTCGCGTCCATGAATGTGACGTGCTCTCTTATGGGCGTCTGAATGAAGTCCAGGCCGATCGATCGAGTGAAGAGATAGGTGCCCTCGTCCAGCTTCGCGGATTTTTCGCCAGACGCACGAAGACGTTTTCACGAAGTTACGATAATATAATATTTCATGTGCTCATCCACGATAGTTCTCTCTCATCGTCGATTATCTGAAAATAATTATGCGCAAATTAATGGCGGCTTCCGTTGGCGAGTGCGCACAAACAGAACCGGATGAAGACATGTTGATGACAGTCGCACAAAACTGGCGACATTGTCAGGAGCTTAAAAGGCCAGTCAGACATTTCACGAGGCTCGGTGCAATCCGATACGTCGCACTTCGCGGTATGAAATGCCAAGGGGGCCGCGTATCGGGGGTTCCCGCGTTGCGTCGCACGCGAATCTCGTTTTGCATCGCGCGACCTCGGATTAGCATCGCATTATCGCGGCAACGCTCTCTCGCGAGAGAGGCATCGATCGAGCGGGAAGGGACGCGGATCTATTTCACGTAAGCCGAATTCATGAGGCCAGCGTATGTGGCCCATAGCCCCGGGTTATGACATTGCGGTGCATTCGTGCCGCTGTGAGACGACGAGCTTTTTACCAGCCGCCTTTTCCCGTTCCCGGTCACGGTCGGGCCTATCCGCACCTCTTCAGGCACAAGTGTGCCGGGGGCGAGACGCGAGACGCGCACCGCACCGGATAGTCTCATCCTCTCTCGGCGTCACCCTTTCCGCCGTATTGCCAAGCGGACGAGAAAGGTGGGACGGAGAAAGAAGAAAAGGAAGAGAGAGAGAGAGAGAGAGAGAGAGAACACGAAGAGGAAGAGAAGAGAGAGCAGTAGATGGCGAGATCAGGTATCAAGTGTAAAAAAAGAGCCATTGTACGGAAGCATCTGACCGTAGGGTAGGTACCGCGACGACGGTGCTGAACGATAGAGCGAGACAGGCAGAGGGATGTGTACTTTTTTAAGAAGAAAAAGGGGAAAAGAGAGAGAGAGAGAGAGAGAGAGAGAGAGAGAGAGAGGGAGAAGGAAGGAGTCTGGCAGAGAGAGAGAGAGAGAGAGAGAAAGACAGAGAGGTTGCTAGGACGCGCGACGACGCAAGGACGCAAGGACGCGAGGGGCGATCCTTCGTCGAGCGAAAAGACGAGGAGACGATGGTAAGGGTGGAAGAGAGGGGAAAGATGGCATGGGCGAGAGCGTTGGCAGTTTATAAGGGTCCCAGGTATTGTGGATACGTATTATCATGCTAAATATAACATGTTAACTACTTCGCATAATACCGCGATCCTCTCGATTCCTCCCGGCACGGCTGATCGGCGAATCGCGTCTCTCCGTCGCGCGCGCCGCGCGTCGAAAATTTTATTGCCGAATTCGGCAGATGCAGCGACGGTGCACAGCTATATGAATCTCATCGGAGACGAGCGGAAGCGTAATCGCGGCGGTTCTCCTCGCCGATTCCATTCGTCGGAAGGCCGTGGGGAGAGAGAGAGACAGAGAGAGAGAGAGAGAGAGAGAGAGAGAGAGAAATGAAAGAGTAGGTCTGTTCCTTGTGTCTCAGCGAAGTTGGCAATTTAATTATCGTTTCAACAAACGCGTATCTTCCATGCTGGATCTAAGTGATCCTAATTATGTTTAATTACAAAAATGTCGAGCATCGGAGAAAGAAAATTTCACACGATGTTAAGAAAATCCCTTATTTATCTTCTTCACCCTTTATTTTTAATTTTTCGCCAGTTGTCTCATTAAAAATCACCAAACCGAGAGTACCTGCGATATCATACACAAACACCTCGACACGATTGTAATTTTTTAATTCTTCCACTGTCTAGTTACTATATTCATAAATGCTTAATATCTCGTAATATTTTAATTAAATTAGTACTCGAGAAATATATGCGAGGGAGAATGTGTGGAACCTGATCTAATCTGATATCTGTTATTTGGGAGGCAATAAAAGAGGAGGGAGGGGGGACGCTGCGCTATCATCGTTAGAATTCTAAAGACCGAATTCTCCGTTAGACACGTGGGAGCACTGTCCTCCTACGTTGCTCCTCATGGCGCGTCGCGGAGAAGCCGATCCTTTTCGTCGAGCGACATAGCGACGCGTCGTCGTAAAGGACCCGGGCGATGGGTCCTATGAAAGGCAATCGGTGACAACACGAATGGCTCGTCCCGTCGAGCCCAATTGTACATAGCGCGAATTTGACACGCGTTTTTCTCGGTGAGATCGCGACGAGGCTCGCTGATGCCCGTTAAAGGAGCTATATGACTGAAGGTCAATTCTTCACGGACTGTTGAAGGGGTGTGATGGGCCAGAAGCTGCTGGTACAAGAGGCGCCTGGCTCCGGTTCCGCCTCGACGAATCGCATGGAAGGCGGTGAAAGCGCCGGTGGGGGGGAGCTACACCACTTCCTCCATCAGTACAACCAGCAGTCTCACAGTCCTGGCCAGAGCCTGCAGGGTGGCCTTCCGCTTCCGCTGAGCCCGCAGTCCCTGCGACACGACGGTACCTCGAGCGCCGGCATCGCCGGGGTCAAGAGGGAACCAGAGGACCTCAGCTCGTCGCGCGGCGGTCAGCAGTCCAGCAAGCGGCACAAACAGGCGCAGCCGGACAGCCCGACACCGCCGGGAATGTACCATCATCATCATCAACAGCTACAGGTGAGTTTCCCCTTCGGTCTTCGTGGTCACAGTATATCGTTATCTCGCGCGATGACAGTATATCGTTATCTCATCGGCTTCGACGACTGAGATTTCCGACCAGGTCTTCTTCGCAACGCACCCTGCGCGCACCGGTGATTACCGGATTTCCGCGGGTAAATCCGCGGGAACGCGACTTCACACTCGAGATTGCCAACCGTCTCGTGCCGCGTAATCTCAATATCCCACGAACGCCGTACACGAGTGCGATACAGACGACGAGGAAGAAAGAAGAACCTCACGACTTACCAATTTTCGAGTGTCTTTGAAACACCCCCGGCGCGAGATTGCTTCGGAGGCTCACGATTTGCGCGTGCGGACGCAGCCGCCGTCCGTACGTGCGCGCTTATCGCCGAATCATCGTGTCACGTATAATCGAAAGCAATAAGTGTACACCGCAAAATAACACGCGGCTCGTTCACGCCATTGCCGAGCCCGGGAGGAAATAACGTCGCTGAGATTCGCACTCGAGCGGCCGCGCAAGATTGCTCAATTGCGTGCGCCTCGCGCGCCTTGCGGGTCGAATCGTCGCGCGTTTCCGCCGTGCAAAAAGATCACGTGTAAATGCGCACGGGAAGGATGACTCGCGATCCTCTGTGCGTCGATAACGATATGTGCGTCGATCGACGGAGAAAGAGAAAGAGAGAGAGAGAGAGAGAGAGAGAGCCAATCGCAATGTACCTGTATCCGCAGGTGCAGCAATACGGCAGTCCCTACGACCCCTACTCATCGTGCAGTCCGCGATTGCAGTCGACCGCGTACACGTCCACATCGGCGACCGGGACCGGGAATGCAGCGAACACGGGCGGTCTCCACCAGGAGGCAACGACGGTCTACGTCGCCGGCGATGCCCTGCCGCCGCTCGCATCGTCGAGCTCGTCCTCGTTGTCCACCACGACCGCTTCGTACACGAGGTACGAGGTTGTGCCGAGCTCATACGCTACGACACACGCGATACGCTCGTCATCGAGCAGCAGCAAAGTGCTGACCGTTGATCTTCCCAGCCCCGATTCCGGTATAGGCGCCGACGCGGTCACACCCAGGCAGGACCATCATCCACCCACGGCGCTTCATCAGGTGAGTGCCGAGCGCGCGACTCGCGCGACTTTCTCTCTTGGCCGATACGTCATTGGACGGTACGCCACGGTTACGAAAAGAAAAAAGAAAGAGAACCGTGCCTCTGCCACGAGCGTGTTTTCCGAATGCGCTTATGAGCGACATAGTCGTCGAGCATGATGTGGTTTCCACCTCGCAGTAAGCGGAGACTCCTCGGGAATCGCGACGAAGTGTAATTCGCTTTTAAGTCGCACGGAGGATATCGCGAGCTGAAGTGTTACCGATGGTGAGAAGCTACGATGAGAAACAGTCCGCGGCAACGTTCGCTGGTATCCCGATAACGCCAGCGTTTGATGCAAATTCGAATCACCGAGAGGAGCGTTCGAGGCGAGACGAAACAAGCTCGCGATAACTCTCACGCTTTACATACGGCGCATAACATTCCGTCAAGTCGCATTAAGAAAAAAGGAAAAAAAAGGAAGAAAGCACCGGCCGAACGTAACTCGGCCGGCGCGCTCGTAAAAGGCTCGCGTCTATATAAATTGCAATCAACGGCAACGAACGTCAGATAGCGAGGCGATAGAAACAGGATCGCGGCTATCACGTCACCGCGAGATCGAACTGAGGCAGGGAGAGACCGCGGGGAGAATTATGAGGAGAGATGCGCGGAGAGAAATGTTTACCGCGAGCGGAGACGCCGGCTACTGAGATACGCGGCGAGCACGACGGCGTCATTAATCGTCCGGGAAAAAGCGCGCGCGCCCGGCGGAGCGCGCGCGCGTGGCGAGGAGAGCCGCAGAAACGATCGCGAGGGGTCCGGCGTATAACGCGACCGGTGGTATAACCGTAGCTCAATCACGGTTGCTGCTGCTGCTGCTGCTGCTGCTGCTGCTGAACGCCGCGCGTCACGGTAAACGGCATCATCCGCCTCTCTCTTGCGCGCGCGATCATTTTCAATTCGATCACCCGTACGTACGTATGTACAAATGACTTCGCCCACGGCGCCGTAACAGGACGCGACGCAATTAATTTCGCGGCGCGATATCGTAAATATCATTCGTTAACGCTCGACTCGCCGCTCTCAAAGGACACTTTCGCGCGATTAATGCACAGGGTGTTAACCGTTAGATCCTGTTGCTCGCTCGCGACTGGACTCGTACGATATCGGTTCGTTGCCAGCCGAGCGCGCTACGCTATCGTTTTCGACGCGATTTGTCAGACGAGTGCTTTCGTCCACCACCACGACGACGACGACGACGACGACGACGACGACGACGACGACGACGACGACGACGACGCCGACGGCGGCGGCCTCGCCGAGAAAGAAAGAAGGAGAGAGCCCGGACTCTTCGGGCGCGATTAATTTCTCCGTGCTCTTGCACGCATGGAACGCACGGTATTATGCGCGTAAATCGCCGTAATACCGATGCGTCGAATGCGTAATGCGACGACGGCGACCGGCGATCCCGTGGTTTCCCGTGGCGATTTGTCGCCCGACTCTTTCACGTTGCCGTTACAGTTAGACCGACGCGATAAATTCGGACGCTAATGCCACGTATCGCGACGCGTAACGCACTCGCGGCGGGAGCGATTATGGTATCGCGGATATTACGATCACGGGGAGCGCGAAATTCAACCGTGTGGCGGGGTAGAAAAAAAAGCGAACCCGTTCCTCCGGTCTGCGGGCCGTGATATCCGGTCGTGTTTGTTAGAAGCAATGCCTCCACGAGACATTCCTTAATATAGACGCGTATCCCCGCCGGCGTGGCGATCCTGTTATCAAGCCACTTTTGCGCTTAAACGTCGACAAATGGAGATGTTAATAGTCACAGCGAACTCCGTTTACATGATAAAATGCGCGCCGCCGCGCGCAATGGGACGGCTCTCGCGTAATAAAAACGAACGGGCGTTAAATTCTTACATTCATTACGCGGACATTCCTACACAGCCGCGCTCGCGCGGTACCCTCACCGGAGGAGAGAGAGAGAGAGAGAGAGAGAGAGAGAGAGAGAGATCTTAGCAGTCTTTTCGGTTCCTTCGGTTTTTCGTCCGCGAGTCCAAGCGAAGCAACTCATTCGAGAAGACTAAGTGACGATGCAGCCCATATCGTGCCGGGTCGCGTCCGTCGCCACGATTTTCATTATGACACGGACGATTCGTCACGTAGCCGTTGGATATCGTCCACTTCCGGCCGCATTAATCGCGCCAACGGTCGCGAGAGTAAGCCATTAGCATTGCACGCAGTCTCGGCGTTACGAATTAGAAAGCACGCGTCCGTTCTGCTCCGCTTGCACGCGGCAGAGGAACTCGAGTAAAATCGCCGAAGCCTCGCGCGTGCGCGCGCCGATTTGTCGCGGACGTACCGAGCGTGTAAATTGCGCCGCTTGAAGATCGCGTACCCGATGTCGTCTGGTCTGTCGATCTCTGCCCGGCATCCGTTCGTCGTGCGCATGCAATTAGACTGTCGAAGTCGAAAACTCGGGTAACATTAGCCGACGGAATTTCTCCAGCGACGTTCACGCTGCGAGTTATCTCGCGCTTTCCACCGAGACGGTTTCCGCGACGTTCCAGCCTCTAAATCGTCGATTATGAACGCGTGACGTGAACGACGGAAAAACGAAGTCGTTAAGCTGCTCGTAAAGTTCGCGGTGCGCGTTGCGAGAGTGGCGAGCAGTCTCGTTGCGCTACCGAGGCGCACGCTTCGCGTGTGTCTACGCGTGCCTGCGATATCGTATGCGCAGAACGCGTATCGTATTCTAACCGGACTCCCGACTTTTAGCTGATAGTCGCTTTAGCGGCTCTTACGCTTATATTTAGATATTAAATATTTATTTCTCCATGCTCTCTCTCCCTTGCCTTGCTTCTCTGTTTCTCTCTCTCTCTCTCTCTCTCTCTCTCTCTCTCTCTCTCTCTCTCTCTCTCTCTCTCTCTCTCTCTCTCTCTCTCTCTCCTCCCCTCTCACTTATCCCGATGTGCACATGATAGTTTTGTGCGTTCGTGTCGGCGATATACCGCGGCTCGAATTTCTCGCGAAACGTTGACTCCATCACTGGGTGCCGGAGTGACGTCTCTATTAGAACGGTTGTGTAGCACGATTACGGGAGAAAGAAAGGGAGGGGCGGGGGGGGGAGGACGTGATAAGTTTAAATAAATCACTGGCGAATCGTACGAGTCAAATCGCTCGCTCGTTCGTATCGTAAAATCGTAAAGACGTCGAAGCTTCTCGGAGTTAATTGGAAAATCGCGAGAACCAAGTCGCGAATGAGAAAAGAAGGAGCATGACGAAAGCGGTCGGCCGATCGGGTGTACTCGCGTTGAGACGATCGATCGGTCTTGAAATATCAGAAAATTAACAATTAACAGATGACACGCGACTTTCGTGCTCATTATATCTCGCAGCGCTCGAAGAATTCCAAAAGGACGAAGCGGAGCTCCCCTGCTCGGCGAGGAGGAGGTAGTACGGCGGATTCAGTGGCTCGAGAACTATGCAGGAAAGAAGTCGCCGTACTTACTTCTCTTCTCCTCGTGTTATTTTTTTTTTTCTTCCTTTTCGCGTCGAAATGACACGGAGAGTTGAGGCAACAAGCTGCGGCAACCGCGTTGCATTGAAAAATAACTGCAGGCGACGCGTAATCGCATGAAGACATATGAGGGAATAGGTCGTTTGGCAAGCCGCTTATTAACAGCCACGGTTGGAAGCGCGTGTGCGGGTTGTGCGGTTGATTTTACGAGACCACAAAGCTCCTATTCTCTCATCTTCTTCTTCTTCTTCTTCTTCTTCTTCTTCTTCTTTCGCCGGCTTCGGCGTGGCACACATATGCGCTCGCTCGCGGTGAAAATGTATAGCACCACGTGTGAGAACCCGAAAATCTTCTTTATCCCGCGGACTTTTCTCCCGCTTCTAAACTTTGTTTACGACGCGCGGCATCATCGGCGGAGAGGCGAGAGAAAGATCCGGGCGGACGGTACATCGGCACGTAGTCACGTGAAGTCGCGTGTTCGCGCGCGGTTAATCATCCATCGGTCCGATGATCCTCTTAATCATGCGGCTCGTAATTTATCGGGCAATGCGCTCGAGAAATTAAAAAATATAATGAAATGCATTGATATGCAAAATAGGAACGCGAACGTGCGCGGATATTGGAGTCGCCGAGGCGTACATGCATGCGTACGAAAGAAACGGTATCGGTAAATAATTACGTCTCGTTACCAGCTTTTTTAAATACTAATTACGCCGTAATCAGTGAGCATTTGAATCGCCGAGACCGTGTGCGACTTCGCGTCGCGACGCGCGCGCGCACACGCACGTACACACAAGCGCGTTTTATCGCGCGGCGACCGGAAAAGAGAGGACAACTATCACACGGTCTTCTCGACTGCGACGAGCACGCACGTTCTCCCGTACCGCGGCTGCTCAAAAGTCAAAATTGTCGTGCACTATCATTACATCTCGTGCAACTTTCTCCGCGAAGGAAGAAATTCGCTGAAATGTTACCGGTTGATAATTCAGCGAGTTACGCGAGCCATCGGTCGCCTCCGACTCGACCGTTCAGGTAAGTTTTACGACGTGAGAAGTCAATTTCAGGAATCGGGAGGTACGTCGGAACGCTGCGTGCTATGGAAACTAGCTCGACCGAAATTACATAACGGCCGTGCGAGTTTGCAACTTTGCATGTGTACATTTCGTTTAGAGGCGACCGACAATAATAATTAGCTTCTCTTTTCCCCCGCTGTACACGTCGCAAGATTCGGCCTGTACGTTTCGCCTGTCAGTCGAGTGAGAGATTGTCCGACGAGATTCTCTTATTTTCCAGTCCTCGTTCGACTACACGGAACTATGCTCCGGCGGGACGACAGCCGGAGCGGCGGTGGTCCTCGAGAGCGGCGCCGTGATACACCACCAACCCCTACAGCTACAGCTGCAACAGAATCACGCGCAGGCACAGGTGCAACGAAGCGGTCTCGTGTCCGCAGGTGCGACGAATCCCAATCCGAATCCAAACCCGCCGAGGTCGCGGCCTTGGCACGATTTCGGCAGACAGAACGACGCCGACAAGATCCAGATACCGAAAATGTAAGTAAAAAAGTAGAGAAAAACGCGGGTCGACCTTTCGCCGAGGAAAAGCACGTGAAACGTGCTCGACCGTGAGAAGTGTCTCTTCATTTCGTCGGCTTCGATGATGTCGAAGTGTCTCGCGCTGAAATATTAGGGATAAGAAGAAACGTACCGCGTGCCGGTGAGATTTGCGCGACTGAGCACTCGCGCAATCCTCGCGTGTGGCGTAATGACGCGTGCGTCGTCGTAATAAATTACGATAGGTATAATAAACGTGCGTTCTAATACAATGCTCAAGCCAATGCTCAAGTTTGCCGGTCGGGTGGGTAGACGGCCTGGAAGATAGATCTGCACCGCGCGATTGATAGATAGATCTGCCTTATTACATAGAAGGAGCGGAAGGGAAGCGATAAAAGAGTTAATAACTCGCGCCGCCCAGGGCGAGCAGTCGCGCGAGTTCTCCCAACGCTCTAGCTGATTGTCTGATCGCGCGTGACGTACGAAAATCGCGTTTTTTCTTTCGCCCCTCTTCTTTATCTTTTCCCCAATATTCGCACGACCAAAAAATCGTAACAATTCTTGCAGTAGCGTTAATTGTTTCCAATTCGAAGAGATGTTCCGCTCATAATTGATTCGTGTAATAATAATAATAATAATAATAATAATAAACTAATAATGATAAATAATAATAATTAACAACGAGGTGCGGAGTTTGAAGTGTCGGCGTAGGCGCACGCAGCCGACACTATTTGCTTCCTGTGTCAACGCTCTTGGATTTCTTCTGAGAACGATGTCGCTGCAAATGGACTCGTGGACGCTGCCACTTCCATTTCGCGAAACTAATATCTCCGCGCTGGACTTATGTTACAAGAAGTACTTCCTGTACTCCCCCCGTCTTTTGCGTTCCCTTCATTTCCTCCGCGTTTCTTCACATCCTCCTGTCGTCCTCGCTCAGTCTTCTACTTCCCTCTCTGCATCTCTCTGTCTGCGTCTCTCTTCCTCGGCGATCTCTGCCCGCTTCCCGTTTCGTTCCATCCACCGTTCGTAATTTGTTACTCCCATTATTAGACCAGCCGGCCGTGCGATCAGCAGCTCTGAAAATCTCTCTCGTTCGCCTCCGCGTGCGAGCGAACCCACCAACGCGGAATGAACAATGATGTTAAAGTTATTAAGTCGCGCGCGGGGCCGGCTCCTCCGTCCGGTCAGGAGCGGACAAGCAAGCGCCTCGGGATCGCGCCTGGACCGGGCTGAAAAATCGCGTGCGCGTCCGCCAACTCGCCGCGTGAAATCGAAATGTCAGGAAAGGTAGCCGCTTCTCTCTTTGCCCATCCTCCCCCCCCCCCCTCTCTCTCTCTCTCTCTCTCTCTCTCTCTCTCTCACTCTCACTCATCTCGACGACTCGGGACCGTTCTTTTTCGCGCGCACTCGTCTACGGCGGGAGCGACGGCAAAGACAGACGGACGGCAAGTAAGACGGAGAGAAAGAGAGAGGATTCTCGAGACCCGCGCGCGCGGTAGTCGCGCGTAACCCACACGGGGAGTTGTAACAAGGTATACAGCGGGTAGGCGGCGGCTGTGCAACGGGAGCGAGTAGCAGAGGCGCACAGGAGGGCGTTCACCCGCCACGGTCAGTTATCGCCTCGACTCGCCGGGCACACCGTCGCCGCCGTCGCCCTCTCCGCCTGACAAAAGAAAAGGGAAAAAAGGAAAGGGGCGATGGAGGAGAAAAAAACAAAGGGGAAACGAAGCATACGGGTATCACGCCGCGAATACGAAAGCGTCGGCTTGTAACGCGCGCGCGGAGATAGAGATAATAGGGCGTTCTCTCGCGGCGACGCGATAATATCGCGCGGAAAGTTCGCCGACGGTAGCCGACCGGCCGCGGAACGGCGAGGAACGGGCGGCGTGATTAGCGATTTTCCTCGATCGCGGCGACCGACCGTTTTGCTCCCGTTTCCCGCGCGCGTCGTGCGCGTCGTTTTGTCTCCCCGCGTTATATCCGCCATCTCACTCATTCTTTCTCTCCCTCCCTCCCTCCCTCTCTCTCTCTCTCTCTCTCTCTCTCTCTCTCTATCTCTCTATCTCTATCTCTCTCTCTCTCTCTCTCTATCTCTCTATATCTCTCTGTCTCTCTCCGCCGGTCTCGGGTTATGGGCGTTCATTTTTCATGAGGTATCGGCGGCCGCTCGCTCTCGCCTGCCCACTTGCCTACCTGCCTGCTTCAGCCGGAGTCGAGGCGGAGATAAGCCCGATTAGAAGCGCGATTTTCCCTGAGCGAGGAGGTTGATGCGAGGTCCCGATACCGTCCGTCGGCGTTGCTCCTTTTTCCACCAGGGCGCTCCCGCAACGCGCGTCTCCAGCTTTCCCGGATTCCAGCCACACGAGTCTTTCGTTATCGCTCGCAATTAACCGCTCGAATATTCATATCCGACGGACTCGCTTCTTCCTCCAGAGGCGGCGGCGACCTGAGGCGGCGCTCTGATCGATAAGCGTTTTTCCGCAATTTTCCCCGAAGAACTCGAGCCTTCGCTGCATGCCCGTCAACGACTTCCTTTTTACTACACTCAGGCGCTTCCGCGATTTTTAGCACTTACTTGTCGTGTTTCCAGTTCTTCCGGCGCGCGACCCTCGTTATTCCTCGCGATTAGCCGCTTGAATATTCATACTTAGCCGTGTTTATATTTTCCTCCTACGGCAAGCTTCCTAATATACGTATATCCTAATAAACCTTTGCCATGAGATACTCGCGCGTCGCTTCTTTTTCCGCCGTGAGATACGATCATCGCCTTCATTCCGAGCTGCGATTGTGCATGTCGCTGGAAGATCGATCGATGATTACGCGATGATTACGGCGGCGCGTTAATCGAGGCTAATCGGACATTCGTTCGCAAGCTGATAATCACGGAGTCGAATAGACGCGCCTTCTCGGACAAGCAGCGAAGAACAGCGTACGCTGCGTATAATAAACGTGAGGAGGCTGCGACTTGAAATGCACGTTTTTGCGCGCGCGCGAGTTGTCGCGAACTCGCGGCTATGTAATCCACGCTTCATTTGGGCAACCTTGTGTGTCGTCTCTCTTAGTTTCTCGGCCTACGGATTTAAGTACCATCTGGAGTCGCCAATCAGCACGTCGCAGCGACGCGAGGACGACAGAATAACGTACATCAACAAGGGCCAATTCTACGGGATCACGTTGGACTACGTGGCCGATCCTGACAAGCCACTCCTCAAGGCAGGTCAGACAGTCAAGGTAAGAACAAAAAGGATAATTACACCGTTTGCATAACGGTATTAGTAGAATGAAGCGGACACACTGCGCGAAGGACAGACGTTCGTGATTGGAAGATCGCGAGAGCGGTAATAGATTAACACGCGTCGTGAGCTTAGCGCGAGCGCGCGACGGGCTTTAATCGCCGTGGAATTTACTGTAACGCGGATACCGAGTGGCGATGCGACTCAACGGTGTGTAACTTCCCGAGAAAGCGCGATTCCCCCCCCCCTCCCCCTCCCCCCCGTCTCGTAACGCTCGTCCGTTCTCGCGCGATAAAAAGATCCGTATCTTCGCCGCGCTGCGCTCTCCGTGAATTGACTTCGTGTTCGCGTTCGCGTTCGCGACACTGTTCGTCGTTCGCGATCCACCATCTACGCTCGCGGTCGAGCGGCGTCTCGAGTTTCGCGGAGGTTCCCGTTCTTACCGTTGTCGCTCCCCGCGACTTTATTCACCGCGGCTTTCGCAGCAACGAAATGATCTCGCGGAGATGAGACAGGGACGATGCGATGCGCGTGTCGAAAGAAGGAGTCAGACGGGGTCGTTTGTTCTCGCGGCTCTAATTGGCAGTCGGTGCGCGCGCGCGCTCCGTTAGCAATTTCCATTCTGATAAAGGTGGCGATTCTTTTTCCGCCGTACGCGCGACGAGTTACGACTTCCTCGTTAATTGCTAATCGAGCGTCAGGGCGTGTGGCGATTCGAACGGTATATTCGCGTCTCTCGCGGCCGAGCCCGAGGGAGATCGGTAAGTAAGTGTAACCGCGTAACGCGAGCCTCTTATTCACGGATCTCTCTCTCTCTCTCTCTCTCTCTCTCTTTCGTGCGCGTACGCTCTCTCTCCCTCGCTGTCTCTGCTTCCCTTCATTGCGCGCCCATATTTCCTCCGGTACGTCGTGCAGTTCTTCGCCCATTCACCCGAATCACGAAAAATCCTTCCTCCGTCTCGGCGTTCACCCGCTCGCCGCTCGCGGCGAAACGCATACGCCCGCGTGTATCCGCTCGAGCGTGCGTCTGTCGCGGCCGATGTGCGTCTCCGTATCGCTGCACACAGCGATATCGTCGATCCAGCCGAACGGAAGCGCAAAAGTCAACTCTGTAGAGTCTGCGCGGGAACGGATCGAGTGCGCGCGAAACTTCAATGCGAGAGCTCGACGCGAATGCGGCGAATCTCTCCTCTATCTCCTATGTTTATCTTTATCTCTGCGGGGATTCCGCGAACGTGACTGGTGGATCGGAATAATCTGTGAATAACAACAAAGCAAATAAAACAAAGCCAACGTCCATTATCCCGTCGTGTGACTAATGACGATTTGTTTGCTTTGCGCAGAGTGTGGTAATGCTGATGTTTCGCGAGGAGAAGAGCCCGGAGGATGAGATCAAAGCCTGGCAGTTCTGGCACGGCAGACAGCACTCCGTTAAGCAACGGATTCTCGACGCTGGTGAGATAATAAGGGATTTAATCGCGCTCGCGGACAAATAACAGCTAGACTCTCCGCTCGTTTCGCTAACAATACACGTAGACGTATATAATTCGCGGTGGACACGATCGATTAGGTTCCCGAGTCGCTCGTGTTCCTCCTCTTTTCTTAATCTCTCTGCGCAAGCTGCCTCATCCGCAACGGAAGGAACGACGGAGGTAAGATCGTATCGCGCGCATCGTACGCGCGCGTCCCGTTATTTGGATATTCTATTTGAAACCGTATAGCCCGGGTAGAGCCCGGCTACTTCATATTCGCCGGCATGATCCGCGAGTCTCACAGTCACGTCCGTTGTGTGTTACAGACACAAAGAACAGCGTCGGCCTGACAGGCTGCATAGAGGAAGTTGCGCACAATGCGATTGCCGTTTACTGGAACCCACACGAATCGTCGGCGAAGGTAGGTAAGAACGCCGGAAATGTCGATTCACGTTACCTCCTCTCGGCGCGATACGCCATACTCCACCTCTGAATATATCCTGCGCCTGTATCGCCGCGCTTAATCTCGCGCTCCGCGCGCAAATCGTATCGCCCGGTCAGCAGCGCGCAGCTCGCGTTTGCGTTCGCGTTCGTTCGCGAACTGCACCATTTAACAGATACGTTTAATAAAGCAATTCCCGCACGTCGCCGCTGTACCTGTCCGATTTCTGCGCAGATAAACGTGGCAGTACAGTGTCTCAGCACTGATTTCTCGAGTCAGAAAGGCGTGAAAGGTCTGCCGTTGCATATACAGATCGACACGTACGAGGAACCACCGCCCCACACGCACACTTACACCCCGCCATCCCATCGCGGCTACTGTCAAATTAAGGTCTTCTGCGATAAGGTAACCTCTCTTGTTCATTAAAACATACGTTTTTATCTCTCTTTCTCTCTCTCTCTCTCTCTCTCTCTCGCTCTCGCGCGCTCTTTCTTTCTCTTCATCTCTATTTCTTTTTTTTTATCTGACGGTCGCGCTTCTGTTATAAATAACGCGATCGCTTCCTGATCACAACGCGATCGCTGAAATTAAGTTGAGAGATGACGTTGCTCGCCAGGGAGCGGAGAGGAAGACTCGCGACGAGGAGAGACGCGCTGCTAAGAGAAAGATGTCGGCGACCGGCAGAAAAAAGCTCGACGAGCTTTATCACTCCGTCACGGAGCGCAGCGAGTTTTACTCCATGGTCGACCTGCACAAACCGCCGGTGCTGTTCTCGCCGCCAGCCGAGCACGCCATCGACAAGGTAATCATCCACTTTTTTTCATGCGCTCGACTCGAAGCGCGCAAAGATTGTCGTCCGTAAGAACCCGCCTGGTTCTCACGGAAGCGTAGACCAGGAACATGATTAAAGGCCAGTTAATTAATTAAGCAGCAATATTGAGCTCGATAAACGCATGGAAAAGAAGGATTTCCTCGTTACGGGTGGTACCACGTAAAGGATGGATTTTTTTCTTTCTAATGTTTTACATTCACTTACATAACGCGCCGCAAAGAGTCTACGGATCGACGAGAGTTCTCTCTTTTTTGGTTTCTTCGAGCGAAGCGTCGTGTCGAAGTGCCTCAGCATGCATTAACCAACTAATCGGCGAGAAAGAGACTGACCTCGCAAAAATCGAACAACATCCACAATCCTCTGCTCTCACCTCCGCCAACACCCTGCACTAACTGTAACTCTCGTATCGCAAAGTAACGACATGGGCTTTCTTTCGCGAGAAAACAGCCTTTCGAATTTTGCATTCAACAGATCGAACTGTAGCATCCCACTTTTTATCTCGCTATTTTGTCTCATAAAAACTTGTAGAACCGTGAATCGTAGTGTCGTGATTGTTGTTGCCTGTAACGATTATTGTCATATTGATGTTTTACTGTAAAAACAAAGTTGCACCCCCGTTTGCAAATCCTTCCTCTTGCTGTCTCCCCTCGATATCTACAGACGATAGTATCGCTCGACATTGCGTCTTTTTCTGGAAAAATACATTTACCATTGCACAGTAGTTTTTTTGTTTCCCAACTCAAAATTCGAAAGGACCGCGGCTCGTCGTCGTCGTCGTCGTCGTCGTCGTCGTCGTCGTCGTCGTCGTCGTCGTCGTCGCGGCTCGAGCGAGAAGGCACAGTGGAATAAACCTTGTTCTTCTCCCACGACAGTTCTCGACGATGGAGTTGTCGGGCTTCTACGGTGGTGGCGGCGGCGGGGGCGGGGGTGATACCGACACCTCATCTCTCAGTAACGGTGAAGGTGGAGGATTGAAGGCGGGGAGTAGCAGCCCCTATCCGGCATGCGGCAGACCCAGCTTGCCGGCCCTCAAGTTCCACAACCACTTTCCGCCCGACAATCTCAGTAATCTGCACGACAAGAAGGACTCGTTGCTGATGCAGGTGCAGGAGCTGCAAGGCTCGGTGCTGCAAGGAGTGCAACAGACTGGTCTCACGGGCACGGTGGTGTCTAGCGTCGGCAATCGACTGCATCTGCAACAGCAGACCCCGCACATGCGCCCCGCTGACTCTGAAGAGCGCGTCATGTTGTACGTGCGTCAGGAGTCGGAGGACGTCTATACGCCACTGCACGTCACGCCGCCGACGGTCCAAGGGCTGCTCAATGCTGTAAGAAACACCCTAAGGATCTCTTTCGTACCGTCAACACACATCGACACCCGCGATCGACACCCGCGCTCGGACTTTCGCGACTCGCCTATAACGAGTTTTCGTTTCCGACCTTCGCGGCTGCAACTGCAAGAGTTCGTGCCTCGTGCTCGACACCCTTGCGCCCACACCTCGGGTCTGCTCACGTCCTCGAGAGGATATCGAGAGTTAAACGGAATCGACGGAGCAGCTCCGTTCTCGCGATGCAACGTCGTGAGCCATTGACGCCCGCGGTGCGTAGTAAATTATCGATGTTCACTGGGAATCGTGGGATAATACAACTAACTCCGGGGCGAGGTATAAATATCGTAGATATACGCACTGCGAGCGCGCCGAGAGGAAGGGGGAACACACACACACACACACTTTCGACAACTTTGTATCTCGGCCTGAACGTCAACACACTTGTCGCGCACCGGCCGAGGCAGAGGCAGAGGCAGAGGCAGAGATAAAGTAACATTCCGTAACGAGCCCGTTGCTACTGCCGCGCGCGAGTGGAAATGGAAAATGGAAATTGTCCTGGCAATTTCCATACCGCGACCGATAATCATCCGTGCGCGTCGCGCGGCGGTAGCTGTAACTTTTTCATGCAAAACGCACAACCGTGGGCGTGTTAATGGTTAATAATAAATTAATCCGCGATTACGCAGTCGCTCGACCCGGCGAGACTTACTCTAGAAAAAGAACACGACCAGCGAGATAATACAATGCGCCGCCCATTTCTATCGACCGATATGCTTCCTGTAGCCGCTAGCTGCAGGTAAATACTTCCACGCTTAATAAAGTCACGCCGGAAGGTAATTGACTGTCCGTTTCAATTTCAATCGGCACCGGTAAGGCTTCGCGCTTATTGAATCGCATTCGATTCGATTCGACTCGATTCGATTCGATTCTACGACAACGATGCGCGTGGAAATAATGCTGGAGAGAGATATATATGTTGCAAACAAACATATATATATATATATATCAACACATATATATATATATCAACATATATATATATATATATATGTATGTATGTATAGTCCGACGAGAGTATATTACCAATGCATGTAAAAGCATACTGCGCCATTATTAATACCCGTTCGCACTGGTTCCACTTGCTAATTAATATTAATGCGCATGCATCACTGTCTACTGTCCAAGATCCTCATTAATATAATATCGAAAGTGCAAGACGTACGATCATATTACCCCTCCTGCCGCGAATGTGTGCGAGACTGTCGACAACTTGTCGAACGTGACGTAAGAGTGTAAGACTGTTACACCGATCAGAACCGGCGGAAGAAAAAAGTGGAAAGAAACACCTCTCTCACTCTTCCCCCCCCCCCCTCTCTCTCTCTCTCTCTCTCTCCTCTCTCTCTCTCTCTCTCTCTCTCTCTCTCTCTCTCTCTCTCTCTCTCTCTCTCTCTCTCTCTCTCGATCTGTCTTTTTTTCTTCTTTTCTTTCTCTTGTAACAGTCTGTTTTCTCTTCTTCATCGTGTATCTACACGTACCACGGATGGATCTCTCGCTCCTCTCTTGATCGAGATAATCGATTCTAAGCTGTCCACGCGTTTTGCATCGACGTGTGTCATGAATATTCTTTATTTCTATTTTACAATTTCTTTGCCGTTATATCTTCTACTTATCTTGTCTGTTGCATCCTTCGCTCCGTCTTTGTTTCCTCCTCTTTACTTCTTTCTCTCTCTCTCTCTCTCTCTCTCCCTCTCTCTCTCTCTCTCTCTCTCGCTCCCTCTCTCTCTCTCTCTCTCTCGCTCCCTCTCTCTCTCTCTCTCTCTCTTTCTCTCTCTCTCTCTGTCTCTTTGTCTTTCTCTTTGTCATTCCTCGCGGTGAATTGCGTCTACCTACCTACGCGCGTCTCGCAGTACTTTCTCGTGCGCGAGAGCGAAACGAACAACGGTCCGCAAGCCACTATCAAAATTCTAATGTTCTACTTTTTTCTATTTTACAGATTGAGTCAAAGTACAAAATTGCATCCTCGAGTATTAATAACCTCTATCGCAAAAACACAAAGGGGTAAGTTTAGTAGAGTGTCATCTTTACTTGCATGCACGCCTACGTAGTGCATGCCATAACGGTGACATTGTCTGACTCTCTCCGCCTGGTTTGGTAGTTTCTTTCTCTCTTTCACTTTCTTTCTCTCTTTCCCTCTCGCCTATGATCGTGCCTCTTTCAGTGTATTTCGAGTAAGTTTCTCCGCGCAACGCGATGTGCGTCCGAGTGTGCCAGCGCGTGTGCTCTCGTTAAAGTCGCTCTCTTTTTCGATCACCAATCATAACGCGCATGTTGCTGTCGCCGCACGCCGACCGCATATCTCGCCCGATTAATCCACTAATCACTTCACACTTCTCGTCTTCTGCCTTTTGTCACGAGCACTCGTGCACCCGCTTACCTGCCTGGCATATAATGTCGCATCACGCGCGTCCCGCACGGCTGTTGTGTGACTCTTTGTTTTACCTTTGTTTACGGTGCTTACGCACGGCAGATTCCTCTCTCGGCCGTTTCCCCATGAACAGTTACTCCTCGTTTACTCTCGATATATCTCACGTCATAAAATCGAGCCCAGTCTTTTTCCCTTTCTATCTCTCTCTTCCTTTTTCTTTCTAGCTACGCGCGCAGCACGGTGCGAACTTTACGATGCACTTTCTTTTTTCGTTTCATCGAGACAATCCCAACGAGATCTCAAAGATCCACCGCGACAGAGTGTTTTCACTTTTACGATATTGTAATGATTTCTTCGCAATGACGAGAAATCGATTCGTTTGATTTTGAAGCGTAACAATTGTTTATCGCATACAATTGTATTGTAGTAACTTGCCAAACAACTGCAAGTACAAAACACCGCAAGAAGAGCGATCCCTCGCATCGTAAGAGAATTTTGCGAAACCGTTACGTTAAAATTTATCACACGATCGCCGCAGCAACGGCGTCGCGACGTCTTCGCCGATCGCACGCGACGGAAATTGCGCGTGACAGTTCGCTACTCGTCAAGCATCACATGTTACATAGCGGTTACAGTCGTCGCGCGTTTTGCATGCCAACTCGAAACTCGAGCGCGGGATAAACAAACGCGATATCGCGCCGCTCCGCGACTTCCGAATCGCCGTCGTTAGTCTCCGAGGTGACTTAACGAAGACGTCTCTGGTCTACCTTGTTGCAGAATTACAGCGAAAATTGATGACGACATGATCCGCTACTACGTCGACGAGGACCTGTTTCTGCTGGAGGTGAGCCATTCGCGAATCAACCCGGACCCGAGCGCCGACCGCAACCCGAACAATCCGGGCTCGCCGGGCGATCCCAGCGACCCGGGCGATCCTCCCGCCACAGCCGGATACGACGTCACCCTCATCGAGCTGCCGCATCTGGCACACTCACCCCTCGCCAACTCTGCACACGCACACACACACGTACACGATAACGGCAACACGTGAACTCGCTCGGGCGAGAGCGAATTGGTTCTCAATTGTGTACATATATATGTTTGCGGAGTTGGCGACCGTCGCGGAGAACGCTCGTCCGGAAGAGCTGAGTGCAACGACGACGATCAATGGATGGACAAAACGGAGTCTGCCGCGGAGTCGCGTCGCGTTGAGGACGATTCTCGTACGGCTTTGACGGCCAACGACCCCGACGGGTGCATTCATCGCTGTGGAAGGCGACGCGCTAATCAGTTGTCGGCGACGACTCTCTGAGAGAGAGAGAGAGAGAGAGAGAGAGAGAGAAGAGAGAGAGAGAGAGAGAGAGAGAGAGAGAGAAAGAGAGAGAGAAAGAAAAGAGTTGAGAAGATACCGCGGGACATCGGACCTCAAACGCGGCGATTCTGAAGATCGGACGTCGCTTCAACCTGTGTGCTTTTCATGTAACTTTCCACAACATCGTTATCGTTCAACGTCGTTGCGCAGTTATTATGTTATATGTTGTATTTGCACGTTGACGCGTAACGCTTGCGTTACAGTTGTAACGCATGCGTTAAAAAATAAATTACACAACAGCGAGTCTGCTGGACTCCGTTCGTGTAATTGTACTATAACGTTATAAGCAGAGTCTAGATGCATCTGTATTGCTCTCTTTTGTAATGTGGCTAGACGGGCAGACGTTCATTGGGACGTTTGATGGATGTTTCGTTCATAGTTATGGTCTGAGTAAGGCTTTTTGATGTTCACACATCACATGATGTGCGGGCTTCAACTCGGCGAACAAGTCGAATGTGCAACAGTACCCATACACGTCGCTACGGTCGCGCACGGAGCGACTTGTTACTTTATATTGTTTGTTTTTCTTCAGTGAACAATTTATGTCGACGATTGTTAGCTTAGGGTACGCGATGCGTCGCGCGACAAGCGCGCGAACGCCATGTAAATCAATCAAAATTGATTTAAGGAAGCCTCATGGCCCAGTATATTAGATATGTGTATGACGTAAATATGTAAGTGTATATGAGATAGAAACGGCCACTGTGTGTATGTGTCTCAATTCGCACGTCAGCCAATGTACGGGCTCTTAATTTTTTCGCGTATATTATTTTTAACAAAGAAAAAACATCGCGCGTCGCATTTAATGTGCTCATCGGTATTAACTTCGCAAATTATCACCTCGAAAGTATCGACAACTCGTGCATACATTGTAACGCGCGTACCGTCATTCCACGATAAACGAATAACGTTCCGATGTACGTTAGTCAACGACATGAGAAATCGTAACTTTCCCTGTCGTGCTTCTGCATCTTCGCTTGACCCTCGTCGTCGTAAGAAACGTTTAGACGCGCGGTCTGTCGATCCCGCGGTGAGTCGTAAATCGCGTGAAAACATAACAGAAATGCCTGGATCTTAATGGATTATACAGTGCCTGTATAAGACGGTCGAATATGACAGGAAACCAATGTTTGGCCGCTCTGCGGCTGTCTATTATTAGCCAAGAATCCGTCGTTCATTCCTCATTACCGGCAAAGACTTTCACATCCGTTCGCGGAGGAGCTTATTCAAATTAAATTACAATTGGCTTCTGTGTATTGCAAACGGATATAAATTCTTGTTATCTGCAGTACACTTCATTTTAAACAAGGATAGATGTTGAAGGTAGGCGAAAAATAAACTCTGAAGTCGACTTATCCGATATGAAAGATAGACTAGTAACAGATCGAGATAAATTGTTTACTATTTTTCGATTCGTTCGAATTAAAATCGAAACATATGCTTTCAACCCGTAGAATGCAAACAGTGGCTTATCTTCAGTTTGAGAAGAAAGATCGGAAATACGAAAAAAGAAATATTATATTAGAAAACTTAGAGAGAGACTCGAACGTTTTATATTCCAAAATTAGAAACAAAATGAGTCGTAAATTAGAGCTATAGTTTATTTAAAAATTAGATTATATCGACGACATAACAAATTAGATTTAGAACGACGTATTGATAGCTCAAGATTAATTGATAAGACAGAGGAACGGTCTGCTCTTCATCGTAAGCGAGATGACCTCAGTTTTCGGGCGCAATTTGCCCCATGTCGTTATGACTTTTCTACGCGAAGATATCGACGAGCGGCAAATCTGTCAGAACTACTGACAATGTTGTGCGGCACGCGTTTTTGGTCGTGCGCCCTTCCGAAAAAGGGAAGGTGTGAAGTTCGAGACTAAACGTACTACAGTATGTCGACACGCGCGTCGCCACGCCTGCCCTTTCGGAACGATCGACACGCGTTCTCTGAAAAAACGCACATTCGTATCTCAGTGAAAAATTGATGTAAGAATGTGAAACAAATGCCATTTTTCTCGGTCTTTCACGCTGCACGCATTCACGGTGTTCGGATGCGCTTTTGTTATGACATTCATATTTATAATCATGATATGTTTATAATCATGATATGTGGAGAACACGATATATTGTTTCAGAAGAACGCCATAATATATTTGGACATAGAAATAGAGTTCCGGCAATTTTATATATTTGTATATATTAAATACAAAGTTTCACGTGTGATTCGTTCGAAAAATTTTTTTCAATCTTATTTTCGCGTTTTAATTATTATTAAATTATTATTTTATTAATTTTCGCGTACGATTTCGAGAGCTGGACTAATATACAACTGATATAAATTCTTATACGAGCGTGTAACTGATCGAAAAAATCTCCAGTCCGAGCGATTTCGTATTTCGTATTTCGTATTCGTTAATTTTCCTTGACACTCGAATTGCGAACAAAATTTTAAACACCGAATAAAAATCAAACTTTTAAACTATCGAACTGCTACGCTACAAGTTCAAGCTGTTTTTCCTAAGAATTATGAAAAATCCCCGAGACTAGATGAGAAGGAGATGTACTTATATTTGCCGATCAAGCCAGAGCTAAATAGAGCAAGTGATAAAATCTACGATGATCTCACGCTGTGATCGGAGGAGATTACTGCCGTTTGTTACATCGCGTGACCCAAAGACACGGACGAGATGGAGAAACTTGTGTTTTTCCGATCGAAATCGTAAGTAGCTTCGCTAATAGCCCCTCGGTAAAATCGTAAAACGTTAATCGATAGTTTCTCTTCGTCCACCCCGTCGTTAACGGCTATTTACAGCTTCTCCCATTTACGAGCATCGCGACGTATTAACACACGCGATTGCACGGTTACGTAATATGTCATCTGCCGCTCGTCGCGCGGATCATCCCCTCCCGGTTACAAGCGGAAATAATCGCGCGTCGCGAAGATAAAAAATCCGTGAGCAGGTTCGCCCCATTCTTCTCGCCGCATTCTCTGCCGCGCGTCATTCACTCGTGATGGCATCAAGGAGCCACGACTTTTTTCTAAGTCTTAAGACTAATAAGAGTAACATAGTGTTACGCTATATCCGTATCCGTAGTTTAATCTCTTTTACAGGACCCGGAAGTTAGACGATAAGACAGCGAGTCGACGTCTCGAAACTAGAACGATCGATGCTGTTCCTTCCGAAAGGAGGAACGTGTCGCGCACATTTCGTCGCAGAACGGTCGTTTCTTTATCTTCGAAGCATAGAAGGACGTTCCAACAAATGTCCTTCTGTGAAGAAGATAAAAAACGCCATCGAGTATCATTTGGATACGTAAATTAAGGGAATTAGCCTCGAGATCCCAGCGATCCTTCGACTTTCGAGACGTTGGCTAGCGAGACCCGTGCGAGCGATGGAAACTCGCACTAATTATAGCGGCAACGAACCGATCGAGGGATAATGAGTTCGCGATATCGTCGGCGCGCGTCCAATGCGAAAGCGCGAGAGACAACCGTAAGCGATACCAGTACCAATAACCTGTGGTTATGTAGTTTGTAAGGTGAAGTTACGTTAATGTGCCACCGGTGAAAGCGAGCCACTTGCCAGCTTACGTCGCGCAATCGTGCGGTGCGATTGTATGCAACGCACGAGAGTGTCATAGAGAAGAGAAGAGAAAGAGAGAGAGAGAGAGAGAGAGAGAAAGAGAGAGAGAGAAACAAAGAGAGAAAGAGACGTACACATACCACCAATCTACGTCTATAATCATGAGCACACGTATACACACACACACACACACACACATGTACACAAACACGAAATAGCATGCAAACAATTGTTGTCAGTTACGTCTCAAAGAGAGTCGCTAAATTAGAGCGAGACAATCGCGATCACGACACACGCGCATACACATACACACCTCTCTTGTTTTGCGTTAATCATACGTACGACACCGATATCAAAGCAACGATCAAAATACGCTTGTAAAATGACTATATTACTGTGTATTATCATTATATTATTGAATACTTGAGGATTATTTTGTTACATTTATTGCATATATAGATTGATATTATTAATATTATGGATTTTATTGAACATTACTTAAGACATTATATATATATATATATATATAAAATTATATAATTATTATTATTATATATATATATTATTATTTTTATAGCGAGATATGCGTGTCTGTACGGAGTGAGAATGCAAATAATACAGAAAGAAAGGCGGAAAGCGAGAAAGAGATCGAGAGAAAGAGCATGTGTATGTATGAGATAACCCGGAACGCCTGTGGAAATGTCGCGAGCGAGAAAGAGAGAGATAAATAGAGATAGATAGATAGAGAGAGAGAGAGAGAGAAAGAGAGAGAGAGAGAGAGAGAGAGAGAGAGAGAATAAGTTGAGAATCTACAGACCGAGATTGTTGATTAGCGCTTTGGTCCATGACATTTTTATGTGTAATCACAATACCCTCTGCTCCACCACCAGTCCATACTCATCCCCCAACCGCTGCCGTTGCATCTCGAAATGAGACGAAAGATACGACTCGTTACGTGACCAAACGGCTGTGTCATCGAGCCATTTTATTGTAATAGTATCACCTTTATTATCATTACACGATTATTAATATTATTACTTACGTTATATGAGAGAGCCGTGGACAAGTCGCGAGGGGACGTCGAATGCGCGATCGGGGGTGATATCGCCGGTCGCCCGGGGGAGAGTCGCGTCGTCTGTCTCTCCGCTTGCGTCGTTTCGCGTTTCGCGGAGCTCGATGTACTCGCGAGCACGTAGATCGCGCAATCGCGGTCCCGCTGCGACGATCTCTCTGCAGACCGTCCCGATATCGTAAAGTAAAATGACGCAAAACAGCGACGTGGAACGAGAGTCCCCGCGGGCTCTTTAGGTTTACTGTTAGAAATAGAAGAATGCGCAAAAAAGCCGCCGTCGCCGGCGCGCCCGGTAGACCAACCGGGTCGAAATTGTCGCGATGAATTCGGAAGCGAGAAGCCGTGAGAAGGATAGGATGCGAAAAGATTCAGAGAGCACGACCGTTATTCTTCCGTCGCGTTGTCTTGCCATCATGAGATTGTGCCAGAGGTGATATTATATTATATTACAATGTTTATTACAATAAATATTATATTAGTACGTTTTATAAATCGCGCGTCTCTCTTTTGTTTCATCACCATCATGTTTCATCCCATCCATAGGATGAGAAAAGATTAGAATTACATGTGCGTGTTTAAAGCGCTGACTTTGAAAACAACCTCGTTCGTCATTCGACAGAGGACCATAAATCCAAATCTAATCCCACAAACGAATAATAACCGTTTTTAATTTATGACAAAGCAGAAATGGATTAAAAGACGTCGAAGATTGTGGAACATCTCGAAAAACGCGTTGAATCGTGAATGCATTCAACGCCCGGCCTAATCCGAGAGATGATACTCGTCTCGTCATCTCTCTCTCACGCGCTTCGTCATTCCCCCTTACAAAAGTCGCGGAACTCCTGTCCTGTTTCATTTCGCGTAGCGCCGAGAAGACCATGATTTGCCGCGAAGCAACGCCCGAGGGAAACCAGTTGGCGAGGAATTCAAAAGAAAAAGAAAGAGGAAAAAAGGAAAGAGAGAAAAAAGGGAATTCCGGGCGTGGAAACCTATAAGGAGAGATAAAGAAGATTCCGCGTCTTAGAGAAAGAACGAAGAGAGCGCACCATAAAATCAACCAACGTGCCGGAGGACGTCCGACCACTTTCAGAAGGGTTCGCGCGCATTTCACGGCTGACATACCTTAACGAGCCGTCCGAGCGGACACTTCGACGGAATCGCTTATCCGAAAAACCTGACATGACACATCCAGTGCGATTAGCGACGAACGAGCGTGCGTCGTTATCCCACGCCGGATCGGATAACGGGATGCGATGCTAAGTGTCATCCACTTCGACGACAGGCATTACATTTAATCCCCATCGATCACGAGCCGCTCATAATCGCGACGTTATTACAATCGCTCGTCGACGAGAGAAGGAAGCCGAAATTTATAAAGCCAATTTTTCTGGAGAGGGGATTTAAGGATAATTGACGGCAGTCGAGAACTCGTCAGGATATGTTAACGTCTTTTTATTTTTAATCATTTCTTTTTTTCTCGGCCGACAGTCCGACGGTTCATTTCTCGAAGCCTCGAGGTACTGATTAACGAGACGTTCCTCTTCCTCTTCACGTTTTCTCTGAGGTACAAGAGCCTGATCAGTTTGCGAATAAGAGCTAAAGAGGGGAATTAATTGGCGCCTTAATTATGGGATGCAGCTCGCGTATTTTCTCAGACGCAAGCAGGGTTAGGGGGAAGCGGAAGGTGTAAGTAGTTAGAGCGCGACTTGGATAGCTACCATCTAGGAGAGTCACCGATGTGTATGCAAGCATCGTGGTAATCATGTGGAACCTTGTAGGGAGCCGCTAGCCCTGACGTAAGTTATTATAGTTCTTTGGACGTACATGTGTCTCTCCTCCGTTTTGTTCGCGTAAGAGAAATCACATATCAGCGACCGAAGTGGAGAACGTAGTTTGCGAGACGGACGTACGAAGATGCGCGCGCGCGAAGAAGTTTCGTCGCGCGATCCTGAGTGGTCTTTATCTCGCGACGGCTTCTCTCGAAAATGGGACGCGATTTGAATTTCTTATAACTCGAAAAATTGTCTTCTCTCCAAGTTGTTACTACATCACATCCTTACGGATTTGACTCTTCGAAAGTGTACAACATGATCCGCTCATTAACGAATTGTGTTTCTTAAGTGGCTGATTCATAATGTATAATTACGTACGCACATTTATGATTAGCTTGATATTTACGTTAAGAGCTTCGGCATGTTATATTAATTCCACGCGGATAATATCGACCACTAACTGCGCACATAATATGGAGAGAGAGAGAGAGAGAGGGACAAAGAAAGAGAGAATAAACGCGCGGAGATAAATCATATAAATATTAATAAACTCCATAAAAGAAGGCACGCGAGCTGCCGAGCCGATGAAATTGAATTGGCACACCGCGGATTAATATACATCGAGATGGTATCAGATTTTTTGCACGATACCGCTGTAACAGCCTATACGTCGTTGCTGTGTTCTAATTCTTCTAGCAACGTTATGTACAATTTATATACTTGAATGTCGATCAGAACAGATTGGCATTACCTAACGGGGTAACCGATCGGGATCCCGAAGTAATAAAATCCAACGTCTCGGATATTCGCAGGCGATCATGCGCGCAAGTTTCACGGCACTATGAAAGTGAACGCGTTTTATTGTCCATTATATATTGCGCCCTGAGGGATATCAACAACGAAGCGTGCAGTAAGAAATGAAATTTCCGCTCGATCGACTTGCCGAAGCACTTCGCATCCTCGCACACTTGCGAAGAAATAATCGGATCGGTCGGTTTAATTTCTTTCGTGGTTGTCCTCGAATGAAAGAAGGATCTTCTTCATCAACTTTGTCGCAACATTCAAGCTATATTTAGCATATATTTCATCGCACGTGTAATTAAATCCACTTCTGAAGTTGGCAGGTCCGACCTGACTCGAACTAAGAGGTGAATTTCTTCAACCTTCTTTTATCCGCGCGCCAACCCCGAGAGTTGTACGGATTCTTTTTCTTTTTCATAGATCCTCCGTCTCGAATGACGTCGTTAGAAGCGTAACGAGCCATGATATCGAGATTTGATATCTGCCGCTTGATTGCGAACAACCCCGACCCAACCGGTTTGTACATTTTGGGAGGAAGAATCTAACGAGGCCCGGCAATATCGCCGTGGCGCCAATACGAATCCTCCAAACGGATTTTATTACATGCGTCCGAGTATCGCCACACATCGTGGATGTTTCTGTGACGACGAGGGTTGACGGTTCAAAACGAGAACGTTGAACCTCGCTTACGGTTTCCAGATCGGACAAAAGTCGACACGGCCGGCCTTCGCGCGCTGACATCTCTTGCGAATCCCGAGTCGATAATAGACACGAGCGAAATTCGACAGCAGACACGATCATGTGCAAATGCGATCGACAAGGATTCGAGATCCGCGGTCTAGCCACCCACGATCGCCCGCTCACTTCTGGGCTGGTAATACGCGCGTATTTTCGGCGGAGTCCGGTTTGGCGAGTCACAGATACCGCTGTCTTTACCGATTACCGAGCCCTCATTTAGAAGCGACAACAAAAACGTCTCTTTCTTTTCCCCCATCTCTCTCCCTCTCTCTCTCTCTCTCTCTCTCTCCCCTTCTCTCTCTCTCTCTTCCCTTCTCTCTCTCTCTCTCTCTCTCTCTCTCTCTCTCTCTCTCTCTCTCTCTCTCTCTCTCTCTTTCTCGTCGACGGCAAGTGGTTATTAGTTGTCCGGTCAAAGAACGCGCGAATTTAAAATCCCTCTGCCTCCCCCTCCGCCCTTTAGAACGCGGTTCGTCGACCCTAGGTATCGCAGTATCCTGACGTACACTTCAAGGTCCGAGCACCCCTCCGCTCCCTCTTTCGCTCTCCCGCGCGTGGAAAAGATACTGTTTGTATCTAACGCAAAAAGATCGAAGATCTCGTTCTAATGGACGCTGAATTCGCTTTCTCAACGCTCTTCACATTCACCGAGGAAGCTTCGCTCACGATGCAGCGAGCGCGATGCAACACTTTCTGCGCACGTTCGTTCGCTCAAAATTGCAGAATACGCTTCGTACAAGCACGCAAAAATATTTTCTTCTTTTTTTCCTCTGTTTTTATTCACGTTATTTGCCCAGTGCATATACCGCCGCATCAGTATACTTCGCTGTCATAGCCTAACGCTCACCGTGCAACAATGACGTTCGACCAATGACGTGAGTTGCGCGCGAGAAGCAACAGGCGAGAGCCGAGGAGCGCCTTCGAGGTGGAAAAAAAGATGCCGTGGCGAAGGAGAACGCTGGGGGAGAGACGGTTCTATATTCATCGTCGGCGGAAGGAAATGCATAAATACGTACTGTCGGGATAGACGAAGGCGCATGAGGATCACGCGGTAAGCAAGTTCACGGCCGTCCCTTACGTGCAGCCTTCTCTTGGCATCTTCAAGGCCAAGCGGAGGATCGTGTTCTCTATGCAAATGCCGGCGCGCGGCGTTCAAGCTGGACACGAATCGCGATCGAACAGCGATCGAGCGTGATCCGGTTCCATCATACAGCTTACGTAATCTAGATATAACTTTAATCCCATTCACACAGATAGGCGTTATCGTCAGCGTGTTATATATTCAGATCACAAATCGATCGTGGACCTCGCTCGAGCAAGCCGCAATTGCTTCGCGAGGTATTAGGAAACCGTATTGCAAAATGAACATATCGTTGTATACGAAATATATTACACATCGATGCCGCCGATGACACATAATTTCCTATCTCGCGTATGTATCGCAGAGAAAACAGTGCGTCTTCGTAACTTACTTCACTTTTGCGTCAGGAAGTACCTCGAATGAGAGGGAAAGGCACACGATAAAATCTAATCGGATAGAACCATGTTTTACATCTAATCAAAAAATAATATAATTTATTACTTCGTCCTTAGCAGAAGCACAAAAGAACGTGAAGAACGGATAACGTGACTGAGCGCTTCGATTTTGCTCTAGGAAACGCTGCACCCTCACGCGGCGTAAATAACCGATGAGAGGATCGCTTTTTGCGCATCGGCAAGGACCTTGTGTTTCTCTTCCGATCTCCAGCGTGATTCTCCTCCGTCTATCGCCTACTCCGCGGCCATTCTACTACGGGAGCGGACGGCTCTCGAGGTGGTGATAAAAGAACAAGAGAAGAAAAGAGCACGAAACACCTCGTGCGTTCCGCGGAGGAGCTCACCGGGGGCAGAGAGTAGCGCCGAGTGCCAGAGAGGAGGGCGAGCCCGTTATAAGCTCGAGCAGCGGCTATTCAGCAGCTCGACGGCGGTCTAGTGAAGTCCTCAGGGTCTTCGGCCGACGTTCGCACACGTGGTGATCGTCCTAAAGTCTCTCGCGCGTCGTCCGTTGTTCTTCACTCTCGCGGTGCGTCTCGGAATACCTTCGTTGCAGGACGACGATCCTCCTGGTCAGGATGGGTCGACCATGCGGATTGTCGTCGTTTGCGCTGATCGTGCTGGTGCTCGTGGTGCAGGTGATCGCGGCAGACGTGCCCGAAACGCCTGACGCGCCGGCATCTAAATCGCGGAGCTACAAATCGCTCGACGATCCTCGTCTGCTGGAAGACGATGATGCCGTGATCGTCGAAGGTCAGTATCGATCACCGGCAGAGCGTTTCGTATGCGCTGCTCGTCCAGGTAGACTCTCGGTCCTTATGACAGCCTTGTCGGCATCTGCTTGAGGACATGCTTCGAGCTTCGAGGAAATTCTTCCGAATCCTTCGTTCGTACGTTTCGTTCATCTTCGAGTTTCCCCTGAGAATCATGCGCGTCCAGAATCGTCGGAAGATTTCCCGAGTTTTGTAAAATTTTGTCGACTTTGCTGTACAGTTTTAGTTTATTTTCTTGTCATAAAAAAAGAAAAAAAAACAACGCTGACGACAAAAAACTAAAATTACGACTATTCTTAAACGTCATCGCGATTGAACTTCTCCAATTGTTGTAAAACAACGAAAAAGAAAGAGAGAGAGAGAGAGAGAGAGAGAGAGAGAGAGAGAGAGAGAGAGAGAATCTTTCATATTTTATCTTAATTAATTCACAGCGAGGAAATAATGCCTCTGAAATATTTTGCTATCGTCGACGCGAGATACGTTTAAATCAGTTTAAATCAGTTACCGGTCCGGAAAAAAATCAACGCTCCTGTCCTATTTCATATTCCGCGCATAATGACTGCTCCGGCAATTTTTACTCATCCGCTATTACATCACCGATTATCCTGGAATCATTAGTCAGGAACAACAGTACGCCGGCCCCGTGCAGTCCCTCTTGGACGTGGTCAATGACTCCGTCTCTCGGCCTTGATGATTCTCGCTTTTCTCATCGGCGACCGCAAAATTCCTCCGGCAGATGCAACACATATCGGTTAACGATTGACGAACGATGAACATTGGCGTGCGCGTCTCATACACGGCGACCGGAAGTTCTCCCGGCGCGCTACTCACTTTTGATGTACGTGTGCACCTGTGTGACTCGTAGGTCAGCGAACTCGCCCCGCTAAGTATCTCGATGGAATTTTATTATGTTTCGGTCGGCGACTGTGTAGTCACGCATGTTACGCGAATGGCAACATAAGGTTGATATGAAGACAAAAATGATGGTATATTGTCGCGTTTATACATAATTCCTGATAATCAGCTTTTCGCCAAAATTGCGCAGTTGATCGCTGGGCTGTACAGTGCATCATATATTTTATGACTTGCTTGCTTTGTTTTCTTCTTCGTATCCGTATTTCCTCGAATTTTGCAGATTTTTTTTAAGGTGAAAAAGATGCACGTCATATATCTCCTGAATATTGTACACACATGTTTATTCGAAAGCAAGTATCTACGAGTACGTACCGAGATAAACATGCTCGATGCATTCTGATTTTACAAAGTCATACATACATTTCACAAAGTCGGAGAAATTGAAATTAGACAGTTGCATGAAATTTTAATTTGTAGCCGCGATTGAACCAAACGAGATCACATCGAGGAAGGGTCGGGAAATTCTTTGGAGCGGTGCCGCAACTCGCGAGACCTGTCTGACTTCGAAAGGCGAGGTTGGTCATTGCACGACCTTCAAAGAGTGCTATCCATACTTCAAGATTCCAGATCTCGGTGCTCTGGACGGCTGGGTACTCGGCGTGTACGACACATGCAGCTACATCCGTGAGGATGGACACATGAGCTTTGGAATCTGCTGCTCGAACTTGCACCCGATCGTCACGCCCCGGCCCGACAATTGTGATTCTGCGATTGTGGAAGAACCGCAGGTAAAAAATACCGCGAGAGCTACTAATGAACATTTCTTTTCTACCCCCAGTAATCATTCTCGCTATTCTGGAAATATATGAAACTGTAAATATTACACCCGTCGAAATCCATCGGATTCAGTCTGGGAAGTAGTTTCCACGTCGATATGATTTCGCGAAAGATCTCTTTACGAGCCATCTGTCCGATAAAGAATTCAAGTCTTCACGATGCGAAGCTCTTTTTCACCGTTTTTTTATAATACACGTCGAAATTTCATTTCAGGTCGAAGACAACAGAAAGAAAAACGAGAACGTAGCGCGTCCTCAAGCTGCACCCACTTGGCCACCACCGATCCCTACGCACCCCCCGCATCACACGATACCACCACTACCGACTCATCCACCCTCTATTCTGTCGACGCGCAGCACTACCGTGAAGCCGATCATCACGAGCTCTAAAAAACCTGGATCCGCCACAACGTGGCCAACGAAGAAGCCGACGTGGTGGCCAGCCGCAACCGTCACACCGACGACCAACAAGCCAACCACCATCACCAGCTCGAGCTTCAACCTGTCGCAATGCGGCGCGAAGAACGGCAATCAGGACCAAGAGCGTATCGTAGGCGGTAGGCCTGCGGATCCAGGAGAATGGCCGTGGATCGCCGCGCTCTTCAACGCTGGACGACAATTTTGCGGCGGTTCACTCATCGACGATCGACACATCCTGACGGCCGCGCATTGCGTCGCCAAGTACGCAAAAATATGAGTCTAACGATTTTCCGCGAATCAAAGAGATTCAACGCGCTCTCGATCGGGATGAGGTCACATCGTCGACGCTTTTGATTCTTTCTCGTTTTCATTTGTCCTAGCAGGATATCCGATATCGCTCAGATTTCCTGGCAAGACGAATTGATCGCTGTTTCAGCATGAATTCTTGGGACGTCGCGAGGCTGACGGTGCGTATCGGCGATTACAACATCAAGACCAACACGGAGATCCGTCACATCGAGAAACGCATACAAAGAGTCGTGAGGCATCGGGGCTTCAACGCCCAGACGCTCTACAACGACGTGGCGCTCCTCACGATGAACGAGCCGGTGGAATTCACCGAACAAATCCGACCGATCTGTCTTCCCAGCGGATCACAGCTGTATTCCGGCAAGACGGCCACCGTCATCGGATGGGGCTCTTTGAGAGAAGGTATGAAGAACGTTATGCTAATACGACTTCAACCGGAAAGTTGTTCAACGAGTAGTCACGTGAACAAAGAGAGGAAGGTCCTTGCTCTTAACTTGGAATAACGAGCGTGCGATTGACATCTGCGTGCACGTTCCTTCAATTCGTTTACCTTTTCATTTCTCTTCTAAAGAATCGATTTGCATAGTCGCCACGCAAGGCGACAGACAGTTAGGCAAGGAGAATGATTTTCCACACACACACACACGCGCGCGACTATTCGCTGATTGATCGGAATATTACTCCGAAGAGGTATAAACAGACACGTGAAATTTAACAGCAATTTATTGTATTCGACTAGGTGGGGTGCAACCGGCGGTTTTGCAAGAGGTCTCAATCCCGGTCTGGTCGAACAGCGAGTGCAAGTTGAAATATGGTATAGCGGCACCGGGAGGAATCGTCGACAGTTTCCTGTGCGCTGGTCAAGCCGCTAAGGATTCATGCTCGGTTCGTATTCGCATTTTACATTTGTACATTCGAATATCGCGGCTCATAGTGAGCCCGAGTGTACGGCGATCAGTTGATTAGTTTCTACTGAACGAAAGCAAAATTGATTTATTACTTAGTCTCAAATCAATAATTAATTTTACAAAAGAAGAAGAGAGATTTGTAAGAATCAAGCGATCTCATCACGCAACAGATTGCGGATCGCGATCAATATTTTTGTATGTACAAGAAAATTTCACATGATGAGCATTAATGACGTTGTACTTCTACATTTTATGAACAGGGCGATAGCGGAGGCCCGTTAATGATTAACGATGGGCGCTGGACGCAAGTGGGAATAGTGTCTTGGGGAATAGGTTGCGGTAAAGGACAATATCCAGGCGTGTACACGAGAGTGACGCACTTTTTACCGTGGATTTACAAAAATCTAAAATAGAGGATACCTTAATCTACCATCCCTGATTCGCACAGCCGCTATTATCTCGGCAAGAAGGCTTGTCGAAAAACGCAAGATTCGCCGCATTCGATCCGAAAAAAATGTGATAAAAAACTCTCGAGCCCTAACAAAGATAGAGCTTCCCCTACAGCGGTACTAAAAAGAAAAATGCTTTCGTGCATCGAAAGCAGTAAACGCGTAGTCGCACTTTCGAGGAAGTTCGACCGTCATTTTCTTTTTTTTTTCTTCCTTTTGTTTTTAATTATGCAAGATTCGAACGTTCCAACTCGTCTCAAGTTCCACATCATTGTGCTCTGTGTGTGCGCTTTCTCATCGCTAAATAATGCCATCATCATTCATCTACTATAAGAAAACGAACGCCAACTCGCGTGACTTCACGTATTGACAAAATATTTTATACTACTCTATACATACGCAAGTACATATAAAAATATAAAGTTACACATAGTAATAATATTTCGATACCGTAGACTTCCGTTCCTGCCACGCCCGCATACCGTCGAAGTCTACGTATCACACTGACTTACATTCAAGTGTTGAAGAGTATTTCTCGCTGGAAAAAAGAAAAATGTTCCCGCGTTAGTCGTCGATACCATCAACGGTGTCGACTGTGATCGATAATCGAATAACGATGACATCGACGATATAGTTTTTAAGAATACTGCGCGCGCGCGCGTATATAAGGGAAACGAATACTACTTTAAAAAATACTAATTTTAAGAGGGAAGCAAGACGAAACAATGTGCAATCTAATGAAAATTTGCCAGTCCTCTCTCTTTTATTCTACTCTATCTCATAATTACGACCAAAACCATAAGCAGCAATGAAATGAATGCCGTCGTTATGGTATCGTACCTTAAGCAGCAATGACATGATGTGAAGAGTGACATACCTTGAAAGTAATACGTATCATACTTGTCGTCCGGCTGCGGGATGAAAGGTGGTGTGGCTGTCGAGGGCTCGTCCCAGGGGAAATGCTGAAAAAGAGCCATAGCGCGCACCTCTTTCGCCGAAGGACGCGTCGCTTGGTCCAAGGTGAGCAATGCGTCGATAGCTTCAGTCGCGGCTGACGACAGAGCCTCCTCGTCCTCTGGCCACGGTACGTCCCGCGCCAGGATGTTGGCGAATACCGCTTGCGGCGTCTCGTCGTTGAATGGCGGCACCCCCGTGCAAAACTCGAACAGACACACACCCAACGCCCACCAGTCTACCGCCGGTCCGTGGCCTTGCCTGAGCAACAGTTCCGGCGCGAGATAATCAGGCGTGCCGAGTATCCGATCATCCGACCTGTTGGCCGTAGTCTGACCGCCTCTTCTGACGGACTTGGGCGTTCGGTAGGGTGTGTAACAGTTGCTCGAGGTCGTGGGTGTCTTAATGGGCGAGATACCTTGGGGCGAACGATGACCATCGGAAGTGTCACACGTGTGCAGGTTCGGCGCTGAGTGCGAAGTAGACGGTGGCGGTAAATGAAATCTCGTCGCCTTGATCAAAGTGCTGTTCTCCTCTTGACACTTCCGTTGCTCCCCGTTCTCGCGGCTCTTCTGTTTAATGGAAGATACCGGTGTACTGAAGGCTACTCTACCCGCGGAACCGGCGTCTTGCTCGTCAGTACTCGTGTCGGTCGTGGTATCTATCGGTTTGTCGGACACCACGGTGACATTGATCATCGTATTCGCGTTGGAGAATAAGGGGCCGCGGTTCTTTCTTTTAGGTGTCTTGGTGACATCCAAATCAATCGCATTGATCTCGCACGTTAAGCCGGTAGTCGTTGCGGCTTCCTCATGTCGCTTCCTCTTCGCTCCCCTGCTGAACGATTTCGCCCAGGTGCTCAGCGGACTGATTTGCAGAGGCTGTTGAGATTGTTCAGCCTCGAGCGTGGATTCGTCATCATCCTCCATGTTCTGAATGGTATGATTGTTCGTTTGAATGGAGGACGATTCGCAGGTGTGGTAACTGCCAGAACTATTATTGTCGGTCCCCGACGAGCCCTGTTCACTGTTTCTAAGGTCCTTGTCCTTTGTCGTACCCTGTTCCGTACCTTCCAAATGTAGATCTTCCACCGACTGAAACGGCGTGATACCGGACACACGTGAATAATCACCAGACGCAGCTGACGAGATGATCGAATTTGGTGACGACTGCGGCTTAGTACTGTTCCTCTGTAGCGCTGAGAGTAGGTTCATGGCCGGTGTGCTCGAATCACTGAGGTTCGATTCGTTGATAGATTTTTGCGCAGAACCGAAGGACAAGTGAGAGGTCAGCGAGAGGAGCTGACCAGGTGTTCTGGCGCAGAGACTGGGCGTGCAATTCACCAGATCCGATATCTCGAGGTCCCTGTGTAAGGATGATATCTTACTGAGTCCGAAATCCGTGAGTTTAACGTGCCCTTCGCTAGACAAGAGCATGTTATCTGGCTTCAAGTCCCTATGCACGATACCGTGCGAATGAAGATATTCCAGCGCTAGGCACACCTCTGCTGTGTAAAAAGCCGCCATGGATTCCTCCATGTAGCCATAAAAACCGAGCAGGCTCTTAAGATCGCCGCCTACCATATATTCCATGACTAAGTACACACTGCTGACGGTCTGCAACGAGTAAAACAGTTGCACACAATATGGACTGCGGGTCAAAGCCAGCGCGTTGCGCTCTATCACCACTTGCGACGCCATGTTCTTATGGATCATCTCATTCTTCTTCATCACTTTAATCGCATACACTTGCTCATGATTGGATTTTTTGTATCCTAAGAATACCTTACCAAACGCTCCTCTGCTTATTGGTTTTACTATCTTAAAATCTTCAATTTCTGGCACCTAGTGAAAAGATGCATTAATGTTAAATATGTTATATGTTAAATATGCTGCTTGATGCATATATTTCTATGAAGATAAAAGAGGATCAATTATATTGCAACATGCTTTAGTTGTGCAATATAGTTTAAGTATAGCTATTCTTTGGGCTTTCCCGTTTAATATAACACATATTAATGGTTAATCTAATTCTAACAAATGCAGTTACTTAACAAGGCAAACTTTAGATTTTCAGCTATCACAGAAGCTGGCAAAATAATATACTTTGCAAATATCAATAAGTTTCTTTCGATTGTATATTTTATAAAATCATAATTTACGATCTATACATTATATGCAAACAAGAAGAATGAGAAACATGGTTTTCTCAAATTTCTTATGATTATACTAATCGGATCCTCCGAAAATCCAGACATGTGGCTCCAAAAGAAAATCTATTTTTATATATGAATAAAAAGAAAATAACGAGTGCGCTTACTTTTGTATTAGGATTGACGATTTTGGAAATAGTATTGAAGATAGAGTTGTCGATGAATCTGTCGGATGACTGCTGCGGCGTCCGATCTCCGTACTGACATTCCACGTTACTGTCATTCCCGGAGGGTGTCTTGTCACCCGACTCGGCGATGCGATTATTTCCATCTAGGTGCAATCCCGACGAATTGCTCGTCGTTTCTTCCATTTAAAAAGAAGAGAGACACGAGAATAAGGATAACCTAAACGATCGAGTCACGAGACCCGGTAACCTCCCAAAGACACGAGATTTCAACGTATTTACGCTAGCGTGCGTGCCGTCTCATAAAAATCGCAATCTTCGTACCGTAATTCGTTCCATCCCGGCTATTATCATTGTCATATTTCGCGCAAAATCAAAATCTCAAGAGCAGCTTGACACTTGTCAAATTCACCACTATGCACGCGGCAACATATATTCGCTATTGGTCTGTTCTTTGTAGCTGCACTGTTGAACTGGTGCAATAAGTTAAAGTGAGACAAATATAGGTTTTCTCACTCTAGCTTATTGCACCAGTTCAGCAGTGCAGCTACAAAGAACAGACCATATGGCATATGGAATATATAGGCGACTTCAGGGTGGGCAACGCAACTTTGTTCTTATTGATAAGAACAAGAACTTTCTTAATAATAATGGGTTGTCTCTCGGTAAAAGTCATTTATTTGAAATCATATTGCTATTTTCTTCCTTCTATAGAAGAATTACATCGCCATTTTGTTCAATAAAATAAGTGACGGTACATGCGAACGCGCCCATAGGTATAGTAATTTTAACGTTCACATGATGCTCATCTTAAATACCGAGTATTTAAATGCCTTTACGAAGTTTTAGCGGTTGTTTGTCGAATCGCATGTTCCGTTATGGTATCGTAGGTTAGTCTGCCGAATATAACGCATCCGCGCGTTATGTGTTCATGCATGATTAATTAATAATTGCAACGTTACTATTTTGCGTATTCGACATCGATAATCACTGATTGTCTCATTACACGACGTTACGTGCTACATTTACGTTTTAATTTACCAAAGAATCAGATTTGTCACACTGCAATGGCAGCGAAAGTGGCAAAAAGAGCACCGCGTAAAAAAGGCGGTTATCAAATGCCCGAAGCGATACAGCCTGGAGAAGTTCTTACGGATATATCGAAAAAACAATGGATTCTTGGCAAGTCGATCGGCGTTGGCGGTTTCGGCGAGGTTTACTCTGGTAAGTGGACAAATTTCATTGCTAGTGTAACTTGGAACAGATTTACTAATAATATGTCATTGCAAACTACGTTATTCATAAACATCTAAAAATCTACTAGATATAATTAGACAAAAAAAATCAAAAAGCTATTCACAACATATTTTATTAAGAATCTATACGATGATCATGCAAAACTAGTTTACTAGAGATACAGATTTGCATTTAGTTTTGTCTTGCATAATTATATCCATGTACGTAACATTTGATTTTGTTGTATGATATATTATTTATAGATATTTAGGCTGTTATATATAATTAATTGGATAATATGATTATTTACAGCAGCATCATATTCTGGGAATATTCCAAAAGATTATTCCAATGTTATAAAAATTGTAAGTACTAAAATTCTTTGTGTTTATCATATCCAATATCAAGTATATTTTTATTTCTTATACCCTGTAAATTTAGGAACCACATGGAAATGGTCCATTATTTGTAGAAATGCATTTTTATATGAGGAATTGCAAGCCAGATGAAAGTGAGTTTAGAATTAAGAATATCTCTTCAATATTTTTCATTGATTTCTTTTGTTAAAAATGCTAATATTGAACAACAAAATATTTAAGAGGTAAGCATATCATAAAATCTTTCTAGTTGATAGTTGGCAAAGAAAGAAAAAACTTGCCGTGCTTGGAATGCCTAGATATATTGCTTCTGGAAGTCATGAGTATAAAAATACAAAATATCGATTTTTAGTAATAGATCGATATGGGACAGATTTGTGGAAAATTTTTGAAGCAAATGGTAGACAATTTCCAGAACATACAGTATATAAACTAACTTTGCAAATAGTAAGATGATTATATTTATTTTATACCCATATAACTTGTTATATTTTGATATAAGTTATGATTTACACGGTAATATTTTAATGAATTCCTAGATAGACATATTAGAATATATTCACCATAAAAATTATGTACATGCTGATATAAAAGGTGAAAACTTATTAATGGATATACAATCCTATGATCAAGTTTATTTAGTGGACTTTGGCTTAGCTTCTCGCTGTACAACAAGCACTGAATTAAAAATGGATCCAAAGAAGGCACATAATGGAACTTTGCAATATACAAGCAGAGATGCCCATATGGGAGGTAACAATGAAGGAGAATTGTAACTTATACTGCAATATATGTTTCTTCTTGAATCTTAACTAGAAAAATAACACATATTCCAAATACATGTCTCTTCTTTCAGTGCCAACACTGCGTGGTGATATTGAAGTTTTATATTACAATATGATTCTTTGGCTATGTGGTTCACTTCCGTGGGAAAAATTAGCTGATAAAGTTAATGTTCAGAAAGAGAAGGAAAAAGCTTTCGGAAATATAAATAATTTTTTAGACAAATGTTTTCGTGGATCAGTTCCACAAGTTATGCATAAATTTATAACTTTATTAAGCAGCATGAAATTTAATGAAACACCATGTTATGAAAAATTTAAAGACATATTAATAACTGGTTTAAAAAAACTAAATCACAAACCAGATGGAAAATTAGGTTTGAAAAACACATCCACTCAAAAGATTTCTACTAAATCTACGCCACAGAAAGCAAATAAACTAGTAGAACGAATTAGAAAAAGTCCGCGTTCGAAACATATATCTGGTTTAAGTCCTATGAGAGAAAATCCAAGAGAAAGTACCATAGGTGTTGTGATTGATAAAAAGCGTGGTAATAAGAAAGACATTAAGAAGGTATTAGAAGATATAGATCCTGATGGTGAATATGATATTAAAATTGTTCAAAAAACAAAAAAATTAGAATCGATTGACGAAATGCCTAAGGCAATGGAGAATGAAACTGCATTGAGTAGTAAAAAAAAAATACGAGTCAATCATATTGATGATGATTCAGAAAACGATTCAATGGAGGTAATCTATCTTATAAAAAATTATTACAAATTTAATCTCTTGTATTTTTTTATTTTATATTTTTTAAAATAGTGCGCGTTTCATAAATATTTCTATTCAGTCACTAAAGTGTTTTTGTACAATAGCCGTTGATAAAACGTCCACATAAAGTAAGACAGAAGAAACCAACCACGAATGATAAAACAAGACAGAAAGTTATGTCTTTGGGTAATTCGACTGCTTCTGAAACCGAGCCTGAGGTAAAACATTTTATATATTTAATCAATGATGTGATCTCATTTTTTTTTTTCAAATTAAAAAATATAAATTAATATCCGATATATTTTATATATGACCAGATTGTGCCAAAAGGAACGAGATCAAGACCTACTTCTTCTAAAAGGAAAGTAACTACCAAGAAGACATTACAGTACCGTAAACCAACACTGCCTGAAACTGAATCGGAAGATGATATATTTGATATGTAATTCTTCGAATTATAGTAGTATCGAACACACAAAGTAGTTGTGAGAAGTGGACTATAAAAAAATCCGTAACTACGTATCTTTTATTTATATTTTTGTACGTGATTTCTTATATATTAAACATTAATGATCAGCAATATTATCCAGTGAATACTAAGTAGCAATAACACAATACTAATGTTACAATATCTCATTTAACAATATAATTGTTATTTGACGCGGGTTGTATAAGTTACATTGTTAAATGGAACATTCACGTTATGTTGCTGTTACTTGATATTTATTGGATACTGTCTGTGTATCGAACATTATATTTAGGTCAAATTCTTGTAAATATGTGAATATTCATTTTTTCTGGAAATAAATACATTTTGAATCAAATGCATCGTACTAATTGTTCGATACTAATTTAGTATACAATAAAATATTTAATGTTTATTTCTATATTCTACTACAATACATGACATAATCTTTGATGTTTCATTTTTGCTTGCTTTCTTGTTTTAAATTTATTCTTGTTCTCATTTTATACTCGTAAATAAGTTCTCATTTACGAAATCATCTTAATTTATTGAACTCTGTATAAAAGTAAGTCAGAAATTCTACCATTTTATACCTAATGATAATTTATTAGCAAGATATTTAGTTATAAAATCAAATAACCAAGTTTCTTATTATGGACACATACATACCATTATTATTTATATTCTTATTTATGTGAAATATATCTGGACTTAAATATTTAAAACTAATTTAGAGTAATCACTGAAAATAAAAGTAACGAATTTCTTTTATTTTTTATATACATAGACACTTATACTAAATAGTCTAATTTTTAAGAGAAAAATTGGCAATTATTTAAATTAATCGTAATCTTATAAATTTGTAATCTTTCTGTCAATTCATTGAACATTATTTCAATATTTGCCAAAAAGTGCGATTGCAAGCAAGTATATGCTCTTAAAGATGCTTTTTATAAGTTTTGTATACCATATAACACTAGTAATTTTATAATCATACAAGTTGAAATCGTCAATATCGCCAGGCAATCATTTCTTCAGTTTTTGAATCTGAGGAGCACTTATTTTCACTTTCCCTGGTATATTTCTAGCTAACATTTCATCTTTAATCGCTTTCAATAAGTCCTTTTCATGCGAAGATATTTCTTTGTCCCTGAGAAACACTGCTATAGCTGTCTTGGCTGCTTTGCCCCTCTTTCCAATACCAGGTGTCAATTTCACTTTAAATCTAAAACAAATATTGAAGTATATTATAAATGTGAAACACGACATATATATTAAACTTCACATAATAACTTACTTGTAATTCAATAAGGTACTATAAGGTGCTACCACAGGTACAGCGAACAATAATTCGTCCTCTGGAAAAGGCTTTCCTGTTAGTTGCTCAAGCATGTCAACTTCGGGAGTCGGACCTGTATCTTCCTCATCAGCATTATCTATTATATGTGCAGATGGTGCAGGAACGTTCATTCTTACGTTTGGCTTTTTCTTCCCTTGCAGTTTAGGACTCGACAGATCTTTAGACCTATTTTTCTTTTTATCTTCTTTAGCTGCACCTGCTGACTGAAAAAAAGAGAAATGAGAAATATTTATGAATAACTGTCTAATATGATGCAAAAGTAAAAAAAGAAATACCTGCAAAACAAGCATCGAAAGTCGTCTATCTTCTTCATCTTGATCCTTGTACTTTTCTTTCATTTTCTTTAATTTTCCTTTCTGTCCTCGTTTCAATACAGGCTGCTCTATTTTTTTGTTATCAATTTCAGTTTTGTCACTCTTCTCAATCTTTTCTTTCGGTTCTTTTGGTTGTACTTTTTGTTTTGTTTTTGCTCGTTTCTCTTTAATCGGTAAATTTACTATAACAGGTTTATCATCTCCTAAATAAACTACATTTTCTTCGGCATCCTTTTGTGTTGCTATCAATGGTTGATTATTATCAACGTGCAGTTTTACTCTGTTTTACGCAAAAATACATCATTATTATCACGTATTATATGAAATTATTCGTATATTATATTATATTTCAATTAGGAAATTAAAAGTTTGATATTTATTTACTTTGGACCCGAAAGATCAAGTTTTATCTGCGTATCGGGAAATTGACATTTCGTATCATCTTCTTCTTCCTCTTCTTCTTCGTCGTTACCTTCATCTTTGTTGGCATCTTTATTATCTGTTGCACACGATTCCGGTTCCAAATGATCTTCCTCATGAATAGGATTTAACGCATTTTTGTCTTCTAGATTTTCATCTAATGTAAAAAGTTGGAAATTATTGAAACTAGATTAATAATCGCGATGTTTTTTATCAACCATACATGATTTGCTACGTTATTACCTTCATCCGAGTCGCCTTCTAATTCTATTTCTTTGTCATCTTCGATCACCGAATCCACATTTTCACTTTCCTCTCCTACAGCTTTGACTTTTCTTTCATCTTTATGTCGTTCTATTGAATTTTCCTCCAATCGAAACATAATACCCAATCCCATAATTAATTGACTCGGTGGTAAATAATTTTTCTTTCCACGTATCATGAAGGACCCAGTAGTAAGATATTCTCCAGTAGGCGCGCTTTTTGACACTTGATCGTGATGTACCCACCATGCATTTGCTACTACTTTAGCGTCCCAAGCGACACTAAGAGAACGAAATGTTACTTATGATATTAAAAGAATGATTGTTTTCACGGCTCATCTCGGAGAGTATATAAACAAATATAAATTTAGGAGCTATATGTATATACCACTATAAAAACAAAAATTATACCTGTATGCAATAGCCATTGTACCTGCTTCCGCTAATGATTTTGGTGGTACAAAACCACCAGTGGGATTTTTTATCACAACAGAACTAGCACCGGTTAAATCTGCGTGAACATATAGATCTCCTGCTCTTAGGTATCTCTTTACTATCAACTCGTTCTGTTGCTGATCTCTTCCGCCAATCACTGCACATTTATGTTATAATAAATTAAATCTTGACACCAACTTGTTGGAAAGAAAAACTTACCTAGATAATTCTCAGATGTAATAAACCAATAAAATTTCTCAAACCAATATACTTTTCTTAACTTAATGATGCTGTGTATAGTTTGAACTTCTTTCAATGTTTGCTTCGTTTTCTTCTCTGCCGATTTCAAGGCTTTTCCGTGCGATTCTATCGTTTTCTGCTGCTTCTTAGCTGCCGATCTTTTCTGACTGTAATACTTCCGAGCATTACCGAATGCTGTATGAGCTAAGTCTACGTCAATGATCATCGGTTTCAACTCAGATTCTTCGTCGCTCTCTTCGTAAGGATCATGTAACAACAAGGAAATATGATTTGTCTCCAGCTTCAATTGTTTTATAGCAGAGGCGACAGGATCACTTCTAGCTTGAGCTTCTTTCAACAATACTTGAATATCTGGCCAGGACATCTGATTTGCCAAAGCACTTTGTATGGCTAGAATAGCATTATCCACTAAAGTCTGATTCCTCGAAATCAATTCTGCCTTTTGTTTATCAACCTCCTGTGTCTTTTCCAATGTAATCAATCTCTGATCATGATCTTTCCTTACATTCTCCAGTTTTTTCAAAGCTTCTCTTTCTTGTTGCAGGGCTTTTAAATCTAGCTTTTGTCCTTCCATTGTGGAGAAATATTCATCCACTGTGGCATCAAAGGAATCAAACTCTTTGTATGGTTGGTCCTTATATTGTTCAAATAACAATGGATGAAATTCGATATTAGCAAATATAAACTCTTCTTTGCCATCTTGAGTCGGTCTTGCTTCTTTCTTTTGAATAATATATCCTTTTGAGGCACTTTTTTTCGCGTTATCCATGATATTATTGGCATCTTCAAGTGCTAAAATTAACTTTGGCATGTCTTCAGTGATGTTAAAATCTTTGCTGATTTTACAACCAAGGGCAAATGTAGCTTTAAGTAAAACATGATCAATTACAGCTGAACCAAATTCTAATATTGGATTTAACACCTTCTTAAGACTTTCTCCGGTTTTGGCTTTTTGAAGATGTTCATGGATTTCATCTATAGGTGGCATTGCCTCATTGTGAGCTCTATCTAATGGATACTTCTCTCTCACTGCAAACCTAAATATTATACAAATTTATTAATATTTTACATATATATATACATACACACATACTATGAGCTTATCTTGTATATTTACCTAATTTTATCTCCTTCTGTGTGAGGCCTTAAAATGTACAAAATTACCATTTCATGATCTGTGAGAATTATATTACCACGATCATACAACTCTAAAATTATATGATATGCAGCCTCACCACTTCCAAATTGCAAGTCTATTATTCGATCTATACCAACTTGCATGAGACTTTCTAGTCTCTTATTCTTAAGGTGTTTGCGCATCTATAACATTTTATTGATTATAAAACAAAAATATATTGTCATTTTTTAAGATATAGAAAGAAAGTAAAGTTAATTTATAATTCAAAATTATTATTATTATTATTACATATAATCTTTGGAGATACCTTCATAGAGAAACCTGAAGGAGCTATATTTTTTGGCCATTCAAAACCTGTTGTATGGATTCTATTACCAGATTCAAGTAATAAAACACATTTTTCCTCGCTACGTTGAAAGCGTATAAGATATGTACGATGATCTATATCATATATTTGATTGACACGCATCCCAATAAGTCTAAAAGTTTTTGAATATGTAAGAAATAATGTATACATATATAATTTATGAAATCTTAGAATTAATAATTACATAATTTGTTACCAAATTTATACTAGTATATATATATGTTACAACAGTAGTTAATTACCAATACTTTAAGTAATCTAGCAAAACAAATTAAAACCACAGTTCCATTTTGATAACATAATATGTTAGATTATATGATTTAAACATTATTACTAATCTTAATATTCCACTAAATTTGTAGCAAATCTTTTTATTTTTTGCTTACCTTTGTAGTTCAGTTACTGAACATACAAGATCGTAAGTATTAAATCGTGTCTTCATTCTTGAAAAGGTTTTATTCTCCCCTTGAAAGATTTACCGAGAGTCATACAATGACATTTGATGTTACACTATATTACTTAATATTACGTTTCTCACATTTAAATGTTATCATGTAATCAATCAGACTTATCTGTACATACTTAACTGATTTGTTTTTATCGTTAAAGGATTTATTATCTTATCGTTATCAGGTTGTATACTGGAAAGCAAATGGTTTCAACAGTTTTTTTTTTCTAGTGACATGGATTAAGAGTGCGGTCCGGCAACCGCTACAAATGCTTTGAAGCGTTTTTCTTTCTCGTTCTATTTCTTGGATGCAAACGAAGGAAGAGAGAGAAGTAAAAACGCTTCGAAGCATTTGTAGCGATTTATGGACCGCACCCAAAGCCAGCGGCACACGGTGCTTGTTTTCGGGCTGGATTGCTTGCTGGATAAAAATACTGCGCTCTGATTGGTGCATTTCCATCCATCTTCGGAATATTACCAATCAGAACGCAGTATTTTCATACAGCAAGCAGTCCAGCACGAAAACAAGCACCGTGTGCCGCTGGCTTTATCCTTGTAGTTGTGAATTTGAGGATCACTGCTTAACCAAACTGCGCAAAACAAAAGATCGCGGGTCTCTCTCTCTCTCTCTTGTGCAAGTGATTCTCAAATTTAAAATTATATGGGTTACATATGTCACTAGAAAAAAAACTGTCGAAACCGTTTTGCTTTCCAGTGTACTAGAAAATTCAAATACCGTCCGCACAATCGTTGAGTCATATCACGACTTTGATTTAACAATAGAAAGAGAGGAATAATTAAATAGACCTGTTTAGTTTATTAGATGTAGAAAAGTGCAGTATGTGTGTGTCAATTTTCATAGTTTATTCCAGAAGAAAAGAGGAGAGGGAAAAATAGGGAGAAATGAAAACTATGACCTGTGGTGCGATTCTGTAACTCGTTATTGGAGTTAACGACAGTTTCGTTATTGTTGCGCAGCTTTTCTACGGTATACAAAAGCTGCGCAACGATAACGACGAAAGTGTTGTTAACTCCAATAACAAGTTACAGAATCGCACCATTGGTCTACTGTCTACAATATGTGTCGTAAGACTAATTGATTGTGATTGGTCAGTTTCTTTACTGCTTACATTCATTGTGTGTGATGGCCTTAAGGGCCAGAGCACAGACTTCTGCATAATGGATAATACACAACGCAGAATCAACCAATCAGAGTTCTTCATTTTTGTCCTGAGGAGGGAAATGCCCTAAGGGCAAGAGCACAGGTTTTTGCATAACACATAAGAGAATAAACCAATTAGTTTTCTTCATTTCCCTCCTCAGGACAGAAATGAAGAACTCTGATTGGTCGATTCTCTTATGCGTTGTGTATTATGCGTTATGCAGAAGTCTGTGCTCTGGCCCTTAACTTGACGGGTTGTATTGGACTGTCTTAGATGCTGAGAAATTGTGGCATCATGTCAACCGTCGTACGAATAGACGGCAGTTTAGGCGAAGGTGTAAGTATTATATTGATGATATTATTCCCTAATTAATTATATTCCTAGTTCTTATTACATCAAAATAAAATACCAAAGAAATATGTGAATACAATCACTCCCACTACTTCTAATGTATATAATTATCACATTAATACAATTAATGTGTATAATTACCATTAATACAAATATAATGTATATAATTACCACATTAATATAAATATTATTCCAATATATTAGATAGTTAGTATATAATGTGCTTCTTTATCTTAAAGAAGTTGTGCTTTGAAATTTGTTTCTTTTTACAATATATTTAATATTGTAAAATATCTTACTGAATTATTTTATACTACAAGATTTATTTTATACAGTTGTTAATTGTATGTAGTGTGTTTGTAATAACATCATCATCATCATCATCATCCATTGACTCCAGTTTGGGATGAGCTTTAGCTTGCATTATTATATTCTTCTACATGTTCCTATTTTAGCCATCTTTTTCTAGTTTACAATAGAAAGCCTTATATCTCTCTCCAGTTCATCTTATATCTTTATCCAGTTTATCATGTAACATATTTCATGAAAATATCGATTTCATGAATATATCGGTCTTCTTTTTCATTCTTGACTATTTTTTATGTCTGGAGGAGAAATATACATAATGTTTCAAATTTTATATCATATTTTTGTATTCAATTTATTTAATATTATATTATTCACAGGGTGGACAAGTACTAAGGACTGCATTAACTTTGAGCACACTTTATCGTATCCCTATTGAAATAGAGAATATACGTGCTGGAAGGCTCAAGCCTGGTCTTGCTGCGCAACATTTAAAATGTAACATTTAAAATGTACAATACGATGAAAGAGAATGAGATTCTGTGTTTTATTGTTGTGATTGAAACTTGGATAATTTCTACTTAATGTTATAGGTGTAGAGCTTGCTAAAGAAATGTGTAATGCTGAGGTTAAAGGTGGATGCATGGGATCCACAAGTTTGAAATTTTATCCTGGCCCACTGAACAAATACAAGAAGCAATTTATAGCAGACACGCATACTGCTGGATGTATTTGCTTATTAGCTCAAGTAGCTCTGCCTTGTGCCCTCTTCTTACCATGCAATGAAGAAATCACACTCTTTTTCAAAGGTGGCACGAACGTGCCTATGGGACCACACATAGAATATCTGCTCAAAGTATTTCAACCAATGCTGAATAAATTTGGAGCAAAATTTCAAAGTAGCATCGCAAGGAGGTATATTTATTTAATCTGTTGTATTTGAATATGAATTTTCTATTGCATATTATTCTACACTCATATTAAAATTATTAACAAATAAAGGGGATATTATCCGAAGGGCGGAGGCGAAGTACGTTTAGATATACATCCAATCCATCACTTAAATGCAGTTACTTTAATTGATCCGGGAGTTCCGCGACAAATAATAGGATGGTCTTTTGCTGATATTAATTATATAAAAGTATGTATTGCTCTAATCAAATCTGCTAACAAGCTTTCAAGCGGAATATTAGACATAATCTGTTGCGCACCTTGCAGGAGGCGTATAAGATGGCGAACGATGCCAGAGCGACTCTAAGAGACACATTAATGATTAATAAGTTTGAAGTGCCACCAATGGACATCGAGAGTTACCCAGTAAATAAATTGATAACTACAGGAAACGGATCTGGCATCAAGTAACTTTTATATTCACCTTTTATATTCAAAGCATGTTTTATAATTTATTTCGTTTGCTGCAAAACGGTGAATTAGAGCGATTAATTGGGTTTTTTCTTGATATATTCCTACAGAATAAATATAGAATCCTATAGAAACTTCTTCCCAAATGTTATTTCTAAATTCTAATAATAATCTTTGAGCTCCTGATCCTTGAGTTTCTGTTATTACTGAAGTATTGTTATTTTAGTTCCTGCTATATTATTGAGATGTTGGCATGTTTTATACAAGCAGAATGAGATTACTCATATTCAAACAAGTTCTAATGTAATGTTAGTATAGTGTGCATCACCAGTACTGACTGCTTTTTCGGGGGTTCCGGCTTGGGTCGCGGACCTCGAGATACATCATCACCAGGTAAAACGGCAGCTGAAGACATTTTAAAGCCAATACTAACTGGTGCTTGCGTCGATGAGCATATGCAGGACCAAGTAAGAGCGTAATGAAACTGTCGACACCAAGTACTTCAACCTTCTTCAGCTCATCGTGTTATTATATTGCAGATGATCATTTTAATGACATTAGCGGAAGGTGTCTCGAGGATCAAAGTCGGCGATAAACAGCTGACCAGTCATACGCAGACCGCCATGCAGGTAGCGGAAATTATGCTGGGCAATCGTGGACTTCATTTCAATCTGTTGGAAAGCGCCGACAACAAGGGCACTTTATCCTACGTTCTAGAGTGTCAAGGATGTGGTTTGATTAACAGCAATTTATCTAAATAAACATTGCATAAAATTTGCGTTCTATCGTAACGCACGCGATTTCTCAATAATTTCAACACATATGTCACATCAGTAATTCAAACAATCAGTAATTGTTGCTGTCGTATTTACAGTCAGGAAAAATCTGCAGTCTACATCAGCGCGTAATCGTCTATTCATGTTCTCGTGTAAACTTTCGATATTTAACTTTAGAATTTCTAGTCACAAGAGCGCTGCGAGAAATAATGCATAATAAAAAAACTGATGACAATTGACTATTATTTATTACATATATACATCACTCTTGTACATACATAGGATAGTGAAACGTATTACCGTGAAAGCCAATCTTGAAATGAATAATTCGTATGTACATATGATTCACCGTACTTTAAAGAAATTCCAAAGCGACGAAACTATTGCTGTTTCAGTCTGAAAAACGGCTCGATCGCTCGTAGGAATTCTCTTTCGAAGTTCTCACACGAGAAACGGCTCACAGATGATCTGAAGCAAGAAATAAGATTCTCTTAGTCACGAAATGTCAGATAATTATAAGCATTTTATACATCGTGTTATAAATTCATACCTCGCAGCAAGTCTAATAGCGTTTCGATCACTCGGGCTCATACATATAATATATGCTAATGTTTTACTATATTCTTCTTCGGTTTCCGCGAGGAACCCAGTCATACTACCCTTCTGCGTTTCTATGATGTCTGCCCTAAAAAAATTACAAAATATTTTCCTGTCAAACAGATCTTTCTCCGTTATAACGTTATTGAATACACAATCGCGTACTTTGGCCCACCGGAAGCATGAGCTACCATGATCAGTCCTGCAGCCATGCATTCCACAATGCTGATGCCGAAATGTTCATTCCACATTGTGTGCAGGCCAATAGTGGCCCTTTGAAGTTCCGATACGAGCTCGGAGTATGGGATGTTCAACTTGAACTTGACATTCTTCTCTAGAGCTAAATGTTTGGTCAGATCTTGCATATCCTTGACGCGCGCTTCGTCCTCAGCATCTCTGCACGAGCCGATACAAATCAATTTTACCTACATAACAATGAACTTTAATTAATTTAATTTCGAGATATATTATATCACGTTGCTCTTTTTCGTTCTCGTGGAAAATCGTCAGCTCACCTTTTCCCAGACTTCCTCACGAAGGATCGATCTTAGCTCAAACATTGCTCTCAGCATGAGCGGATGATCCTTCTCCGGTCTGAATTGCGCGACAGCCACTATACGTATACAATCGCCCTTCTCCTCGTCGCTGAGAAGCGGCAACTCGGTTAAATGCTTTACGCTGCACGGCGGATACACGCGATGCGTCTTCAGCGGACATTTCCAGATTGAGTTGATGTGATCCTCTGTCCATGAAGAGTTTACCATTACAGTCTCAGCGCAATTGCCGACCCAGCCATATAACTAAAACGATCCACTGTCCAATTATCATTTGGAAACAGCATATTTCCTTTACTTTTTGTTGAATACATTGATTATATCACATGTATGTACTTACGAGCGCGAACAAGTTGTAGTAAGCTAGCTTTGCCATTGTGAAAATTGGGTTTCTCGCAATGATTTTACGATTGTTATGCGACACCACCCTCCTGTACACGTACTTTAGCATATCATACGAAATAGTGGGATAATGCGTGTACGATCCGACACGGCAACCACCGATATATTTAAACAAAGGATATGTAAAGGCATAACCCATTGTGTCGATATACATGTCTGTAATTTTATTACGTGATTAATATTATTTGTGTATTCATGTATTCTATATGTATTATTTTATTAGCAGAAATTTGTAAAGCGTATAAATACTATGCAAACCTGTATCAATAGATTCAATATGTTACCTGGTGTAAGACTATTCAATGCCTCGATGCCCAGCCAGATAGATCCCAGACTTTGCCCCAGAAGTGTAAAATAGGGATACATAGCAGCTTCTACCCATTTTCGCCTATGCAAATAAATAAATTCGATATTTCGTTGCAGTTTCACATCAAATACCTTTTCAGCTTTACTGAGTATCTCCTCGGGATCTGCATAAAGGTCACCAGTATATATGGCTATGTTTACATCAGGATATCTGGAAACAATGCAAACAATAACAATAACAAATTCATTGTGGAGACAGTGATTTAAATTTTAAATTTAACAAATTTTTAATGTAACATGGAATATTGCTACATGTATTTCTTACTGTTAAGTATCATAGATTGTTGACACATACTGATTCTGTATAGCATGTACTGCAAACCAAAGTACTCTTTCACCACCTCCACCTGCATTGCAATATGGATGAAAGATTCCAACAACAGTGCCTTTCTGTTCCCTTTCTTTCCTCTTTCTCGAATACATCTTTCTCCACTTTATCAATAATATTGGCAGGAAGATCAGGCCACAAAGTATCTTACAGGTAGTTATAATTAGTAACATGTTTATGGATAGGATTATAAGTATTCTGCAAAAATGAATGACATGTATTAGCTTCCGCAAATGTTTCTTTCATTTATACATATTTTCATCATAAAAGTTTGTTTTCTGATTAATATTAAGCTATTTCCATAATACAAACATGATTTAAAGCTAGTTCAATCAAATTCAATTAATTCTGCAATTATATTTATCTGCAAATATACATTATCATATATGCTAAATAAAATGATAAGTACAAATCTGATAAAACAATGACGAAATAAGGGAACGAAATGACAAACAGCAGAACTGAAATTAGTTCGTAATAAACTATTTGGAATTTTAGTACTAGAACTCAAATTATAATTACGCACCAAATAATTTCACACCATGCAGAAGATTGCACTACTAAAGTGATAACACGGTGCGTCCTTACATTGAAACATAAAGAACCATGCTTGCAGTTGTTACTGCGAATTGAATCACATTGAACGACTTTTGCCGACGTGTGACTACGACGCGATAATCAACAGTTAATCTTGCATGACCGCATCTCATGAAGATTAATCTTACATTTTTGTGAAAAGATCTTCCTTCTTTATTAGTAAGTACAAATAATGATTCACAAGAATTTAGCGTGATAACGGTACAATGAATTTATTTAAAGAATCAATACTGTCGATTTGTCCTGCGGTAAGAAATAAATAACAGAAGCCGCACCGGTTGAAAGCCGCTGCTTTTGAGACACCGTGTATAACTGAGACGTCAAGTTGCAAACAGATGACGTCAAACCATAAATCAGAAAGTGTTAGAGAGCGACCATAGTAGCGATTTTCTTGCAACGCTATTTTAAAATGCCTCTATGGCCTGTATTCAGATCTCGTAGTAGTCAGATCACGTACATAAGACAGTCTTAAGTTTATCTTCAGATGCTTCAGGTGCAAAACATTCTTGTACATTTCATTGGCTATGGAGTATCTGAAAGTGAACTTTAGACGGTCTTAAATATTAACAATCGAAATATGAGTGAATATATAATTTAAACACAAAATAAGAAAAATCTTCGTCAACAGCAACGAGCTTTAATTATGCGTCTCGAAGTTACAAGCCACATAAGATGGCAAAGTGACAAGGTCCGAAATGAACTGTCACATAATATTAATTATCGAAATACGAGTAATAAGGTTTTAATTTAGACTCTACGAAAGAAAGCACCTCGCGAATAGCATCGAACTGCCACTACGTTCCGGAGTTATCAGCCACGAAAGATGGAAAAATGAAAGGTCAGAAATGACCTGTCACGCCATATTAAATGAAGAAATATCGATAAAATTTTAATCTATACCCAAAATAAGATCTTCGCAAATTATAACAAGGTGCGCTTATTCGTTATCGAGAAATTAAAGCGAAAAGTTCAAGGCCGACCGGAGCGAAAATAACTTGTCACCGGGTATAAGCTACAAAATTAATTGTTATAAGACATTAATCTAGGTACGAAATAAGATAGATCCGTGCAAACCGCATCGAGCTGAGATCACGCATTTCTAAGATATAAGCCACGAAAGATGCAAAAATGACTGGTACAAAAATGAAATAATAATTAGCAAAATATGGATAATAAGGTTTTAATCTAGACCCAAAATAAGAAAGATCATCGCAAATTATAACAACGTGCGCGTATTCGTTACCGAGAAATTAAAGCGAAAAGTTCAAGGCCGACCGGAGTGAAAATAACGTGTCACCGGGTATAAGATACAAAATTATTTGGTGTAAGACACTAATCTAGGTTCGAAATAAGATTTGCCCGTGCAACCCCCATCGAGCTGAGATCACGCGTTTCTAAGATATAAGCCACGAAAGATGGAAAAATGACAGGCATGTAAATGAAATATTAAATATGGAAATATGCGTAATAAGGTTTTAATCTAGACCCAAAATAAGAAAGATCATCGCAAATTATAACAAGGTGCGCGTATTCGTTACCGAGAAATTAAAGCGGAAAGTTCAAGGCCGACCGGAGTGAAAATAACGTGTCACCGGGTATAAGATACAAAATTATTTGGTGTAAGACACTAATCTAGGTTCGAAATAAGATCGATCCGTGCAAACAGCATCGAGCTGAGATCATGCGTTTCTAAGATATAAGCCACGAAAGATGGAAAAATGACAGGCATGTAAATGAAATATTAAATATGGAAATATGCGTAATAAGGTTTCAATCTAGACCCAAAATAAGAAAGATCTTCGCAAATTATAACAAGGTGCGCGTATTCGTTACCGAGAAATTAAAGCGAAAAGTTCAAGGCCGACCGGAGTGAAAATAACGTGTCACCGGGTATAAGATACAAAATTATTTGGTGTAAGACACTAATCTAGGTTCGAAATAAGATTTGTCCGTGCAACCCGCATCGAGCTAAAATCACGCGTTTCTAAGATATAAGCCACGAAAGATGGAAAAATGACTGGTACGAAAATGAAATAATAATTAGCAAAATATGGATAATAAGGTTTTAATCTAGACCCAAAATGAGAGAGATCATCACAAATTATAACAAGGTGCGCGTATTCGTTACCGAGAAATTAAGGCGAAAAGTTCAAGGCCGACCGGAGTGAAAATAACGTGTCACCGGATATAAGATACAAAATTATTTGGTGTAAGACACTAATCTAGGTTCGAAATAAGATTTGTCCGTGCAACCCGCATCGAGCTAAGATCACGCGTTTCTAAGATATAAGCCACGAAAGATGGAAAAATGACAGGCATGTAAATGAAATATTAAATATGGAAATATGCGTAATAAGGTTTCAATCTAGACCCAAAATAAGAAAGATCATCGCAAATTATAACAAGGTGCGCGTATTCGTTACCGAGAAATTAAAGCGAAAAGTCCAAGGCCGACCGGAGTGAAAATAACGTGTCACCGGGTATAAGATACAAAATTATTTGGTGTAAGACACTAATCTAGGTTCGAAATAAGATCGATCCGTGCAAACAGCATCGAGCTGAGATCATGCGTTTCTAAGATATAAGCCACGAAAGATGGAAAAATGACAGGCATGTAAATGAAATATTAAATATGGAAATATGCGTAATAAGGTTTCAATCTAGACCCAAAATAAGAAAGATCTTCGCAAATTATAACAAGGTGCGCGTATTCGTTACCGAGAAATTAAGGCGAAAAGTTCAAGGCCGACCGGAGTGAAAATAACGTGTCACCGGGTATAAGTTACAAAATTAATTGTTATAAGACATTTATCTAGGTATGAAATAAGATCGAACCGTGCAAACCGCATCGAGCTGAGATCACGCGTTTCTAAGATATAAGCCACGAAAGATGGAAAAATGACAGGCATGTAAATGAAATATTAAATATGGAAATATGCGTAGTAAGGTTTTAATCTAGACCCAAAATAAGAAAGATCTTCGCAAATTATAACAAGGTGCGCTTATTCGTTACCGAGAAATTAAGGCGAAAAGTTCAAGGCCGACCGGAGTGAAAATAACGTGTCACCGGGTATAAGTTACAAAATTAATTGTTATAAGACATTAATCTAGGTATGAAATAAGATCGATCCGTGCAAACCGCATCGAGCTGAGATCATGCGTTTCTAAGATAAAAGCCACGAAAGATGGAAAAATGACAGGCATGTAAATGAAATATTAAATATGGAAATATGCGTAATAAAGTTTCAATCTAGACCCAAAATAAGAAAGATCTTCGCAAATTATAACAAGGTGCGCGTATTCGTTACCGAGAAATTAAAGCGAAAAGTTCAAGGTCGACCGGAGTGAAAATAACGTGTCACCGGGTATAAGTTACAAAATTAATTGTTATAAGACATTAATCTAGGTATGAAATAAGATCGATCCGTGCAAACAGAATCGAGCTGAGATCATGCGTTTCTAAGATATAAGCCACGAAAGATGGAAAAATGACAGGCATGTAAATGAAATATTAAATATGGAAATATGCGTAGTAAGGTTTTAATCTAGACCCAAAATAAGAAAGATCTTCGCAAATTATAACAAGGTGCGCGTATTCGTTACCGAGAAATTAAAGCGAAAAGTTCAAGGCCGACCGGAGTGAAAATAACGTGTCACCGGGTATAAGTTACAAAATTAATTGTTATAAGACATTAATCTAGGTATGAAATAAGATCGATCCGTGCAAACAGAATCGAGCTGAGATCACGCGTTTCTAAGATATAAGCCACGAAAGATGGAAAAATGACTGGTACGAAAATGAAATAATAATTAGCAAAATATGGATAATAAGGTTTTAATCTAGACCCAAAATGAGAGAGATCATCACAAATTATAACAAGGTGCGCGTATTCGTTACCGAGAAATTAAGGCGAAAAGTTCAAGGCCGACCGGAGTGAAAATAACGTGTCACCGGGTATAAGTTACAAAATTAATTGTTATAAGACATTAATCTAGGTATGAAATAAGATCGATCCGTGCAAACCGCATCGAGCTGAGATCATGCGTTTCTAAGATATAAGCCACGAAAGATGGAAAAATGACAGGCATGTAAATGAAATATTAAATATGGAAATATGCGTAATAAGGTTTCAATCTAGACCCAAAATAAGAAAGATCTTCGCAAATTATAACAAGGTGCGCGTATTCGTTACCGAGAAATTAAAGCGAAAAGTTCAAGGCCGACCGGAGTGAAAATAACGTGTCACCGGGTATAAGTTACAAAATTAATTGTTATAAGACATTAATCTAGGTATGAAATAAGATCGATCCGTGCAAACCGCATCGAGCTGAGATCATGCGTTTCTAAGATATAAGCCACGAAAGATGGAAAAATGACAGGCATGTAAATGAAATATTAAATATGGAAATATGCGTAATAAGGTTTCAATCTAGACCCAAAATAAGAAAGATCTTCGCAAATTATAACAAGGTGCGCGTATTCGTTACCGAGAAATTAAAGCGAAAAGTTCAAGGCCGACCGGAGTGAAAATAACGTGTCACCGGGTATAAGTTACAAAATTAATTGTTATAAGACATTAATCTAGGTATGAAATAAGATCGACCGTGCAAACCGCATCGAGCTGAGATCACGCGTTTCTAAGATATAAGCCACGAAAGATGGAAAAATGACAGGCATGTAAATGAAATATTAAATATGGAAATATGCGTATAAGGTTTTAATCTAGACCCAAAATAAGAAAGATCTTCGCAAATTATAACAAGGTGCGCTTATTCGTTACCGAGAAATTAAGGCGAAAAGTTCAAGGCCGACCGGAGTGAAAATAACGTGTCACCGGGTATAAGTTACAAAATTAATTGTTATAAGACATTAATCTAGGTATGAAATAAGATCGATCCGTGCAAACCGCATCGAGCTGAGATCATGCGTTTCTAAGATATAAGCCACGAAAGATGGAAAAATGACAGGCATGTAAATGAAATATTAAATATGGAAATATGCGTAATAAGGTTTCAATCTAGACCCAAAATAAGAAAGATCTTCGCAAATTATAACAAGGTGCGCGTATTCGTTACCGAGAAATTAAAGCGAAAAGTTCAAGGCCGACCGGAGTGAAAATAACGTGTCACCGGGTATAAGTTACAAAATTAATTGTTATAAGACATTAATCTAGGTATGAAATAAGATCGATCCGTGCAAACCGCATCGAGCTGAGATCATGCGTTTCTAAGATAAAAGCCACGAAAGATGGAAAAATGACAGGCATGTAAATGAAATATTAAATATGGAAATATGCGTAATAAAGTTT